ACAAAGGAAGAGCCAGCCCAATCGACGTCGAACACGGCCTCCCGTGGCCCATTCCGTCCATTCGTCAGCGGCACATTGCACACGCGGGTAGCCGTCGTTCGTCATACCGGCATACGCGACGGGTCCTCGAATCGAAAGACACTCGTTCGCACTGCGTCATGGTGTCCTCCGTGTCTCTACAATGCTCGGCTCTTCGCTAATTTGGACGCCGGTTACATTTACTAAGACGTCTGGAAGCTCCCGTTCTTATCATGACCCGAATACCCTATCGTTGCGGCGGCTCCTGAGTAAGGTACCGATCGACATTGCGGGCCTTTCTGGTCTGCTTCATCCGGCTCCGGATGGATATCCTAATGTGACGCCCCAGCCAAGCCCGGCAGCTTCAGAGTCTTCGAGGTCGAATAACGCGCTCCATTGGACTCAGACCTCGCCTCCGACATGTCACCTGGACACTTCGTTACAAGTTGACAAACCCAACACGCAGGCAAACTGGGGTGCACCCAAACCCATCAGGTCTCGGGAACTATTGATCCAGTCGAGTTCAATAGAGTCGATGGAAAGTGTCCAGACTTCCACAAAGGCACCTCTGACTATTCTGTACTAGCTCAGGTCCCGGATCCGTCTTCTCGTTCTCCTGTCACCGTCCCAAGTCCACGTCCATGTCAACCACCGTCACCCGACCCCGTTCCTCGTCTCTGGTTAAGCAGCCAGCGAGGGGGGCTGTCTGGAGTCTGCTTTGCTTTTCCTCCGCAGCTGGGATACTGCGCATCGACTAAGCGTACACTACTGTACCGGCACTGGAGCCACAGATCCCCGAGCGAACCCTTTGAAGCCATTGACTGTCCCAGCTGCTACGCTAATCCCAGAGCTTCGGCCCGTCGCCATGCGCCGTGGCGGTAACTGACATCTCGTTGTCTCATTCCCATCTGTGCTTCCTCTCGCCTCGTCCAATCTTTCTTTTCTTTTTCTTTCTTATTGCCCTTCAGGTGGTTGCCAGGATAATTGATACACCAACTCGCCAACAACACACTTGTCCACTTGCCCTGAGCTCATCCCAACCAACAAGACAAACTCGCTTCCCTTTTTGGACCGTTCGAGGGACGTATATAACAGGGCTGCTTTTCACCGCCATCTGTCTATTCCTCCGACTCTCAGTTTTTCTCTTGGGCTCTTCTTCTCTGGACTTTTTTGGGGATTTTTGCTCTTCTTGCTCTTTACTTGAAGTCCAATTCCAGAACCTTGAGAAAATACCGCAGAAAAGCGGCGTCCTCCGGGTACTTTCTTTCCGTTGTGACTCTTGTCTCTTCGCCGGAACGGAACCTCATACTATCTTTCCCCACAAATTCTCCGCCATCTTGGCCTCCAACAACTGCACATCTTAGTCTTAAGATCGAGTACCATCCCACTCGTAAGCTATTCTAACAGCTCCTTCCTTCCTCCCAAAAATTAAGGTTTAAATCAAAGAACCCTTCTATTCGTGGAGTTTCCGTTGGAGAAACTTTCTTTCTATCACAAATCAAGCAAGTAGCAAACTACCATGCAGTCCGGCGGCCCTTCTCCCTTGCCATCATTCCCGGCATCCCGGGATGGCACGCCTGGTGGTAATGGCATCAGCACCAACGGCACCACGAATGGTAACACCAACGGTACCACAAATGGCGTGCAGAAGAGGACCAAGATCTGTGTCTACTGCGGCGCCTCCCCCGGTTTCAAACCTCAGCACATGGAAGCCGCTCGCGAGCTGGCAAGGATCATGGCAGAGAATAACATTGATCTAGGTGAGTCACTGTTCTCTCACTTCTCATCTCATACAAGTCTTTCGACTCCCGTCACCGCCCACGGATATGGGCAGCGATAAAGTCTCAGTCACTGCATCAATGACAACATGTGGCGCAACCCTTCTCAGACAAGATGAAACATGGAGAGATAAAACCACAAGCAAACACTCTCTAGCTCAAGGTTGACTAACAAACGTCTCAGTCTATGGCGGTGGAACCGTCGGTCTGATGGGCGAGGTGGCGAAGTCCCTCGTCGCCCTCGCCGGCCCAGACTCGGTCCATGGCATCATCCCCGAGGCCCTCGTCAAGTACGAACGCGACGGCACCTACGGCACCATCAACAAGGACAACATGTATGTCCCCGACGAGACCGTCTACGGTCGCACCACTGTCGTCAAGGACATGCACACCCGCAAGCAGATGATGGCCAAGGAGGTCTTCGCCGGCGGTCCCGGCAGCGGCTTCGTCGCCCTTCCCGGCGGCTACGGCACCATCGAGGAGGTCCTCGAGACGGCCACCTGGAACCAGCTGGGCATCCACGATAAGGGCATCTGCCTCCTCAACATCAACGGCTTCTACGACGGCATCCTAGAGTGGGTGAACAAGAGCGTCGAGGAGGGCTTCATCAAGGCCGCCAACGCCGACATCCTCGTCACCGCCACCACCCCCGAGGGCGCCATCACGGCCCTCAGAGATTACCAAGTCTCGGCGGCCACTTTCAAGCTCGACTGGACCAACTCCTAAGTGAGAGGCAACCCAACGGCAATCTATCTAGGAAACCGACCTTGTTGAGTGAAACATGCAGGAACCAGGGACGGAGAGACAGTGGCGACGGTCGAGTTTGTGCAATGTAAAAGCGGATGTGTACCGGAGTCTTGGCGCCCTTCGTGTTTCCCAATCTCTTTGCATTCAGGCTCAGTAGGTAGTCGGTAGTCGGGTTGGATAAAAAGAAGCGAGCGAGGGATCAACAGTCTTCCTGCTTTCAATCGTTGGTGACACACGGGATAAGACATTCGAAGGAAGGAGGAGACGGGGGAATCGGTCGGTTATCTATCATGTCATATTGGTGCTGGCTGCACGTATTGTAGTTTTGATAGACCTTCATGAGTTACACAACCAAGAAAGCAAACCGGCATCTTCAGGTACCTGTCTCAGCCTCGAGTCACCAGCAAGCACATTGATTGCACGTCTTCTTGTTGTCTCTTGAATCATCGGATGCAGCTCGTTCTTGGGCTGTCGAATCTCCTTTTTGTAGTGTATTGGTACAAGTCTAAACGGGCCGGCTCCGTGCGTCCAGGTACGGTGCGTTCCTTCCCACAGTCGGACCCAATCAGCCAAACCCCGGGTGGGAGGGTGTTTGGTGACAATCCGACCTAGACCAACGCAACGTAGAATTCCATCCGCGCCTCTATCCTTAGGTTTGCAATTCTGGCAGTGCTTAGCCGTCAACCTCCATACCCTCACCGCCTTCCTCGCCACCGCCCTGACCCTCGCTGGCCGCGACGCTGTCGAGCCACTCCTTGACGTCCTGGCCGTCGTACAGCTTGAACGGCTGGACTGTCTTCACGCCGTCCTTCTCAGTGTATCCGACAACACCGACACTGGTGTTTTCCACCGTCAGCTCGCGGTCCTGGACCAGACTCTCCTTGAGGGCCTTGAGGCCGTGTTGTACGAGCTCCTCGCGGGAGCACGTCTCAAAGGCGTCAATATTGCGCTCGAGGTAGGTGCGGGCCATCTGGCTGCGGGCGCCAATGGCGAAGGCGACCATCTCTTCCGTCATACCGCTGGGCTGGAACTCAAAGAGGTGGGGGCCGCGCTCGTCGACGCCCGCGACGAGGAGACCGACGCCGTAGGGCCGCTTGCCGTAGACCTGGGTGTTGATCTGGGCCTTTTCGCCAATCATGTCGACGAGGGTGCGGAGGGGCATCGAGCGGCCGTACGTCATGCGGTGGCCGAGGCACTGCTGCTTCATAAAGTTGGAGAGGACGCGGGCGTCCGAGGTGAGGCCTGCAATGGCGATGCCGGAGTGCTCGTCGACGGTGAAGATCTTCTTTTGGTACGAGGACAGCTCCTCGGCGTTGCGCTGTCGGGGAGGAATGACATGTTAGTTTCGTGCGCTTCATGGTAAAGGCCCGCGAGTTTCGATTGATGAGTGGTTGTGGAGGGTAAAGCAAGAGGGAGGGATCCCAGGTTTCGGCAAACGTCGTACCTTGATTGCGACTAGGACGGCGTGTGTTTTGCTGGCAATGCCCACTACCACGGAGCCCTGCTTCACTGCTTCGGCTGCATACTCGATCTGAAATATCCGGCCCTGCGGCGAGCTGCGAGGCGTTAAAGGTCAGCTCTCTGTCATGGCATGTGCCTTGTCCACGACCAAACCGGAGAGGCTGGAAGGGGAGGCTGAAGAAGCGGGCCAAAGAGCTTACAATGTCACCGAGTCGTTGTCGTAATTGTTTCTGAACATGGCGGGCGTGGGGGGTGATTCGTAGCTTCGTTAGGCAGTTCGGTGGTTCCTGGGAACGGGAGGAACTTCGAGTATTCGTGTAGCGGGTCGGTGTGGTTTAGAGGGACGGGAGGGAGAGAAACGATCGCGGGGTGCTTTTCGTGGTTGTTGGGCGAGCAGTCGGTGATGGGAGAGCGAGAGCTTGGTGGATAATAAAGCGTCCCTCCCGCACGCCAGGCCCAGCTCAAGGCAGGTCGAGCTTTCGTAGCACTCTCTCAGCCTGGAGCCAGGGTGCGAGGTGCTCCGTGCATCTCTCTGGGTAAGGTACGTACACCATTCCTGACCCCATACCTGACCTCACTTACAGCCGGGGTCTTTCCGAGCGGAGACATTCTCCTACCACTTGCGGGTTCTCATTGGAGGCTGCCCGGCTGCTGGAACAAGGTTGTGCCGTGCGCTGACGACGGTCTTCGTGCGTCAGGCCTAGACCCGCCATAGCATCGAAGCTCAGCCTGCCAGCCTAGCCGCGGACTGCCATACGACCGACACGACCGATCCATCAACCACCACCACCACCACGAAGCTCTCCCACGACCATTCAACAGACGACCCCAATTCAAAAGACAAACGCCCCTAAAATTTCCCAACCGACCTCCCCTCAATACCCCCAAGGAACGACTTGCAGCCCCGGCGGGGCCCTTTACACCCAGCTCCGACGTCGATACCCGTCCGAAACAAGGAAACCAGAAAGCACACAGCCCACCTTTCAACAATCCACGATGCCGACCGCTGGGCTCAAGACCATCATCGCCCTCTCCTTCGTTCTCGCCGTCGGATTCCTCCTCGTCATTCTTTCCTGCGCCCTCTGGAAGGTCTACTACCCGCTCCTCGTCGTCGCCACCTACGTGCTGGCCCCGATCCCCAACTGGGTCTGCTCGCGATGCACCAACCCTGATGACTTTGGCGAGGGTTCCGGCTCAGCCGTGCTGGACCTCGGCCGCTTCTGCACCGGTTTCATGGTGGTAATGGGAATTGGTGAGCTTTTATTTGCCTGTCTTGTTTGTTCATTGAGAGATTGTATTGTTAACCACACTCTTCTACCGCAGCCCTGCCAGTCGTTCTCGCCCACGCCGATCTCATCCAGGTCGAGGCAATGGTCATGTCGATAATCGGTGGTCTCCTCATTTATGGAACCATCATCAGCTTCGGCATGTTCTTTCAGGAGGAGCAGGATTTCTGACTAAGATCGGGAGAAACGACTCAGGACATATGACGGCATGAGTAAGTAGGCGAAGCAGTGATTGGGCATTCGCATCTCAACCAGATTGGCGGCAGACGTGTACAGTATGACGAGACGAGGTCGGAAACGTTGTGGCGCTTGAGTTCGGGAACCCGACAAGTGGGAATTGGGATCGGTGCGCTTTACTTGGGGCTTCATATGTATATCCAGCATCATTCCGTCAGGCAGGCGTTTCCTCATTTTCCTTTTGTTTTGCAACGACAGAACCATCTAATTCCCAATGACAACCGCGGAAGCTGATATCACAACATGGATTTATGATCTTATTTCTCTCTGCTTTCGTGTGGATGATCCGGGTCGTCTAAAGTTGAGTCTAATACCCGTGAAGGTCCAGAGTCTAATATCCCAGATACGTTGAGGTATCAACCAAACACCCCCACCATGGATAATCCCTCATCACATTGTAAACGCCAGTAAGCCATTTCTAGAAAGACAGTACCCCCCTTTCGCAAACAGTCTCGGATCCGAACCGCTCATACGTCTGCGAAAACGCCCAAAGGCCCCGCTAACTTGGTGAACATCTCCTCCCTCTCCCCCTCAGCAGTGCTCAAAATCGTCACAGCGCCGCCAGCTCCGATATGCCAAACCTCTCTCGGTTCCGTCTCGCCCTCCTCTGGTGGCGCATTCTCGTCGTCCCATTTGAACATGGTCCGGATCGTGACGCTCCAGTCCCCCTTGCCAGTGACGTCCATGTACCCCACCACACCGGAATACAGACCTCTTTCCTTATGCTCTTCAATTTCCTGCAGCAGCTCACAGCTCCGCTTCTTCGGGGCTCCAGTCATGCTACCCGGCGGGAGACTAGCCGCAAGGACATCGAGCCCTGTGTGACGGCGATCGGCACCCGATGCTGTTGTCGGCTGCGGCAGCTGGCCGTTGACGATCGTAATCATCTGGAAGACCGTCGCGTACTCTTCCACCTTCATCAGGTGTGGCACCGTGACGTTCCCGGAGCCGCAGACGCCGTGCAAGTCGTGCCGGACGAGATCCACAATCATGAGGTTCTCCGCCTCCTCCTTGGGCACGTGCAAAATCTCCTCAGCCTGCGCCAGCGTGGCGACCTGGTTCGACTTGCGGACGGTGCCCTTCATCGGCCTCATGGAGCAGAAGCCGTGGGCATCGTACTCGAGGAAGCGCTCCGGGGAGCTGCTGATCAACGTCGCGCCGCCGAGTCGGATAAAGGAGCCGAACGGGGCTGGCTGGCGAGCTCTGAGCGTCTTATACAACTTCCACGGCGCAACGTACGCGGACTTCCCTTGTTCCGAGGGGTGTCCGTCGGCCAGGCCGTTGGTGGCGGCCGGGGCGTGATCTTTTGTCGGGCGTCCGGGCAAGGTGATGGTTGTCTGATCCGTCAAGCACAGCTCATACGACTCGCCGGCTGCGATGAATTCTTGACAATGGGAGACCTTGGCTTCATACTCGTCGGCGGCAGGGACCCGAATGACAGGTCTCGTAGCTACGGTTGAAGCATCCGACCCGTTGACGATGGCCTTGCCCGATGCTTGCCAGAGATGGGACGTCTGTAGGGATGCCACCACGGAGTCGATCCAAAAGTTGGCATTGAGCTTCCGCTTCTGAAGATGCTGGACGTGTAGCAAGCCCTTAACGTGGTCGACCACGATGCTCTTCGTAACCCAAGCGAAGCACAGGTCGGGCCTCTGATGCCCACGGTCAGCAGCCACCGCTACGTCGATCCCCTTGAGTCCCATCTCATAAGTGAGGTAGCCCATGAAGCCTCCTCGGAACGGCGTTTCGAGCTCCTCTGAGCCTGGGATGCGTCGTTTCTCAAGGAACCCGGAGAGGAGATGCCAAATGTTCTTTTGTGATCCGAATGGAACAGTCTCCACGAGGTCAACGGGCAGACCCTGAATCGAAGGGATACGGGCCGTGGCAAAATCGTCTCCGACGTGGTGCTCGATTCGCAGAGACTCCTCCACATCCAGAGCAACGACGCTGAATCGACCCCGAACGTCCGCAGCTCCCGTCGCCATGCTGCTGGAGTTGGACGAATCCAGAATGATGTGTTCCATCCTACCGCTCTTTAGCACTTCCACGATGTCCGGTACCTTGACGTTCGCCGGGAGGCTGATGGTTTTGTATATGTACTCGCAGTCAAGTCCGACAGTCGCCAGGGGCGTCGGCATCTCTGTCCATTCGAGGACGGTAGCGTTCCCTCCCTGAGCCGCGACGTGGTTCTCGCAGAGAAGACTCGGCTTCACAGCATTCCTTGCCAGAAACCGCTCCCCGCTCAGCACGTTTCTGTTCGCCTTTCGATTCCACGCCATGGCTTCGCGAAGCCAGTTGCTGATGACCGCATGGCCTGCCGGCTGCGTGCAGACTGACTCTGGGTGGTACTGCAGGCCCCAAAAGGGTTTGCTCTTGTGCTTGACGGCCATGAGAATTCTTTCGCGGCCGCTGTCCCTCTGCTCGTCCACCCACGCCAGAGGCAACAGCTCGGGTGCCATCTCCTGAGCACGCCAACGCCTGCTTGCCCATGTTGAATCTGGGATGGAGTCTTGTCCGATGTCGGCACAAAGGCTGTGATAGAGGGTTGCTTTAAACTCGGAAACACCACCAAAGATATCTTCGGCGCATGTCGCCTCAGATTTCTCGTGCTGAATATCGCGAACCATGCCGTGCATTCCCCGCTGAAGCCTCCTCACGTTGCCGCCCGAGCTGAGAACGAGGCTCTGGAATCCAAGGCAAATACCAAGAACCGGCAGGAGATGCTCATCTTGCAATCTCCAAATACATCTCATGAGCCCAACATCCGTCTCATTCTCGGCGGAGCCGGGCCCAGGCCCGCAAACTACCGCATGATAACGTGATAATTCCCGATGAAAATCAACCGAAAACGTTAGCGAGTTTTGGTCTAGCAAAGGCGTGTCAATCGGTAAGACGTGAACATCGGCGTCAAGCAGGGTTATGAGAAGGGATACGATGTTGTTCGTGAACGAGTCGTAAGCATCGAGAAACAGGATCTGAGGTCGCGTCATCCTTGACTTATAGTGTGATCCCACTTTCCACTAGACAACGACGACAGCCTCGTTGCAACGCTCGCAAAACAGGAATGGCTTGACCAAAACTTGTACGGCGGCGGAAACGAGCCTTGAGGTGGTCAAAGGCCCGCTGTCGGCTAGCAGCGGAAGTCGCTCCCTGAGAAATTTTGGTGGCAACGGAGGCAGAAACAAGAAGGCGGTCAGACCCACACATAAATCGCCCGGGAGCCTTTGTTCGGGACGCAGGGATGAGCTTAATTCGATCGCCGGGTTGATCGGGTCATCCCTGGACTTCGCTTGAACCCATCACAGATAATGGCTTTGCGTCGTCTGTGAAGACGTCCATGAAGAAGTCAATTATCTACTTAAGGGAGGCCGCTGCAATCGCCAACTCCACCCCTGTGATGTGATTCACTTCTTCTGCACGTCCACCATCGTACAATTAATTCGTCACGCAAACGGCTCGGGCTGCTAGTCCTGATCCACCACTTTGATGATGCAGGGTTGCCTCGAGTGCCAAATGCGCCTTTCTTTCCCACCGATGATCGCGTTTAGCATCGTCTGAGTATCCGATCGTTGTCGGCTCTCCTGTGTCTCTTCCTTTTCCTTCTTTTCCTTGGGCTCTTCCCAGATCTTATACTCCTCGACTGATGCCCCTATTTCGAATTCCCCTCGACACAGTACCATGGCTTGAATCTCCACCTCCGTGCTCGCTTTGGCGGCCAACAGCGGCAGGGCTTGTTGCAAGGTACCGTTCCAGGCGAATTTTCGCGTGAAGTCCAACGCAACGTTCAACGGACGGTGGCACAAGGCTGGCATTAGTCTCAACATCGGATAGACTGGCTTGGCCGACCGATTCGTGATGCCAACCTTGACTTGGACAAAATTATCGACGAGGATCCTCTGTTTGACCATTTGGCCTACAGTTTGTTCGGGGTCCCGGACTGATATCTCGATACCAACATCATCAATCCTGAGAGCATCCATCATCCTAGGTGAAAGTCTGATGGTTCGCAGGTCTATGTAACCGCTCCGCTTTGGGCCAGACACTGTTTTCCATCTGGCAGTAAGCGTTTCCAGGATCCTCTCTCTGAACCAAAATGCTTCGCGATTCGAGCGTTCCATGTCGGGCGTGATCTTGCTTGTGCTGACGACAAACTGTCGCTGTCTTGATGGGTTGAGTGCCGGGATCGATGCGTGAGGGTCCTCAAGGTGTATGCGCCGCAGGGGAACGATGACGCGGCTGGTATTTCCAGGGAGAACGTGCTCCTCAATTACTATGCCGTCCTCGCCGTCCATTTCGACCGCCATGTTGTTTGGCCAGGCATTGCGTAGATCCATAGATAAAAGGCAGTATTCGTCTGCCAATGTCAATGGATTAGTCTTCGACTCCAGGTTCGTAAGGCTGAGGAGCGGCTTAGGTACGGGCCCGCTAAGAGGCAGGACATCCAGCCGCGTGAGCTCGACGCTCGCATTTACAGTGACCGTCAACTGCAGTGAGACATGTCGGGTATGGAAATTTTCCGTCACCTCCTCGGGAGGCACTCCAAGATGAGCATAGTCGATCTGAATGGCAGCGTTCGTCAGACCAGGCTTGCCAAGGATTTCAAAATCAAACTTGGCGGTGCCTCCCGGAGCAATGTATCGCTTCTCGGGTTCCTTCTTATTCAGCCTCCGGAGACCTTGGCGCCTCATGAGAATGTACTCGTATTCGTACAACTCGGCTGGTGTGGCATCTCTGTTGTTGATGCCTGCCTGTAACGGTCCTTGTGTGGAATCTTGGAAGGAGAAAAGCATAAAGTCCACCGGAGTCGTTCGAGATAGATTCTGTAAGGTGACGGAGAAGACCTGTCTCTCTCCTTCGAGCACCATGACCGAGGACTGGGGGAGAGTCGTCGATTTGACAATGACGATGGGCTGTTGGGCAATGACATTCAACCCCAAACTCTCCACCTTGAGCGGCTGGCCAATAAGAGCATCCGAGGCGAGGGTGCTCTCCAATGCTTGAAGTCCGGTAGCCTTGACCTTTACATCTGCTTGCGGCGTCCACGGTTGTTTGAAGATGGGGAATCGTCTCTCGCGACAGCCGCGAACACGAATGACTGCACCTGTAACCTTCAAGGCACCGGGTCCTTTTGGTGTCCCCGAGACTTTGAGAATCTGCGTTCGGTATGGGCCAATAATAGTGCTCTCCAAGTTTGATTCAAACTCCGCACCGCTGGTGTCCAAGCGGAGGCTTTCGACGTCCACTTCAATGTCGTATGGATTCTGTAGGGTGACTCTGAAAGTTGCGGGCTCGTTCGCAACGAGAATGTGATCAGCAGCTTTGTCGGGCTGCTTAAGGAATGGGTTGTATATAAAGGGGTTGACATCTTGAGAAGTTCTTGCAGTCACTGCCCCAGGAAGTGTGCTCTTGGCATGGGGAACCGGAATTCTAGTAGTCGGCAGTGGTTCTAAGGCGACGCCACGAACGAAGAACTCATCCCAATACTCCGCCGCCAGATGATTCAAGCCTAACCTTTTAGCGAGATTCGACGTCTTTGAAATATTTGTGGCCAGCCGGATCTGCTCGTCGCGGGTAATCACTGGTGACGCATCTTCTTTGCGAGGGCCAGGAGCAACTCCTGACCCAGCCGTGCGGAGCAAATCACCAGAGAACTTCAAAACACCGTTGAAGTCAGGAAGTGCTTCAGAGAAGTTGATGCATGCTCTCAGTATGTTCAACTTGACACTGGTGAAACCAAAGAATCTCGCAGCTGCCTGTCCCCGAATTCTATCGATGACAGCAGCGTCAGAGTCCTCTGTCGAAATGGCGTCGTCTGCGGGTTGTTTCTTCATGTCAAAACCGACAACACCATACGACTTGCACAGAAGGGCTAAAAACGCCTCGATTCCCTGTTCAACGTCGCCTTCACCCAGCTCTAGGGCAACTGCACTGTTGCTGTGTCCCTTGGCAGCATTCAAAGCTACCAGGCCGGCCGCAGGGTGTATACCCATGTCTGCAGCCCCGCGAGTGCGCGCCTCAACCAGACCGCTGATCAAAACGGAAACGAGTTCCCTAGTGACCATTGCTTTCTTGCGATGATGGCCGAGGGGTCCAAGAACGGACGCGATTCCTGCTAGAATGGAAACTCTATCCGCGATGGTGAGAAGCTCCGACGAAGAGGCAGGAAACGCGCGGAAGAGAAATGTGACGATTGACTGCCGGCTCGGGGTGATGGTCAACCGAGGCGAGGTTGTCAGAGGGGTCGAAGGCAGCTTGCCAAAGATGATCGTGTCGTAGGCTCGCTCTCCGAGCTTTCCGTCAGCAAGGTGTAAAGCAGACAAAATCTTGGAGAATCGAATCGTCGTCTCGGCAAGGGGTAGAGGAGGCAGATGCTCGGCGGAAATCCGGGAGTACAGCCCTGAGATTCGGTCTAGAAGGTCTGGTAGTATGATCTGAAGGTTCCGAATATGCTTGGGTTGGGCCAAATCGGTTGGGGTTGCCGCTTCTAGAGCAGCATAAGTAGCGGCCGTGGATTTGTCTTGCGGGGGCAAGCAAATAGACGGTACCTGGAAATCCACCTTGACCCATCCTAGAAGCAGTAGACAAAGAGTGATCAACTCCAGTGCCTTGCCGTGCCATATGTGGTCGTTAATCGACCTCGCAACCGTGGCGCCATCGATAAGTTCCTTCAGCGCATCGGTCCACCGTCCTGCTTGCAGATATAAAGACCCCACAAGGATCGTTACCCTGCCTTTCCCTTTCGCTCTAAAGCGGTCGTTCAGACCACCGGAGCCGAATCCTTGCACCGAAACTCGATCTGAACTTTCCGACCTGAAGTGCTCCCCAGCACCCGGCCTCGAATTTCGGTCAGGGGTCGAAGAGCCGCTGCTCATACCGGAAGTCAAGTCGTCAAAAGTGGTTGGAGGGTTCGACAATCCGCTTTTCACAGGAGTGGATGGCCGGGCTGGTGTCGAGTTGCTTGACGCTATAGCCGAATTATGTTTCATCGGCGCGACCGGCATAGACATGCGATTCATTTGCCGATCCGGAATGCCACTTGTCGAGCTTGATCTCTGCGGGCCCGGAATGAACTGAGATGCCCTCTTGCTCGCCGAGCCGGAGTCTTCCGCGCCCCATGATGTGCCGTTCGTCTGTCTGGTTGACTGAGACTGCCCTGGGGACTCGATGAAAGACCATGCCTCAAATGACTTGGCCAGACTTGTCATTTCCGCCAGGAGCTGCGACGTGATGTCGCACATTATTGTTTTCATGGTCGTGCGCTTGCACTCATCCGGCGGTGGTATAGCGACGAGTCCCTCAGGCAAAGGTACAGAATTCTCTTTCGAAAGCGCATGGTCGAAGATCAAGACTTGATGAACCAGCGCCTTTCCGAAGCGGTCTCTCAAGTCCTCCAATTCCTGATACAACGTTCGGATGTTCTGTTCGGCAACAGTGGGCGCATTGCCAGAATGTCTCTTGTTGAAGGCGACTCGGTTGAGTTCGTCTCCGTCTGCGACCGCAATGACGGCGAGCGGTTCGCGATAGAAGTCGAACGGCGACAGGGCGAGATGCGAAGGTGGGGGTACGTGGGTTATAAGTTCGTAGAATACGGCGCCATCAGGAAAGGCCAAAGGCGAAAACATATCTGGAGATTACCGATTAGTGCGAGCGTTCTCGAAGCAAGACGGCAAAAGGGGGGTGCTTGCTCCTATTTGGCCGCCCATCAGGGCTGACATCCCGCAAGGAGACGACATGTTCGGGCCGCAGGCGTTCAATGAAGGACGCGAAACGATCACTTCTGATTTGGCCCAGGGGTAGAATCAATGCCTTCACCCTCGCGGGAGCGATGGGTAACAGCGAGTCCAAGCTCATCCTAGCATGTGTATCTTCCGTCCAGCATCTTCAACTCAAAGAATATTGCGTGCGAGCTATGTGGCCATATCGCGATGGTCTCGTGCGTTTGGTGCCACTCTAGGGGGTACACGGAAGTGCGCGAAGCTCGACAGGTGGCTTCTGGAGGTCCTCGAGCTGGTTTCGCAATTTATATGTCTTGCGCGAATTCGTGATTAAGCGCAAAGTTAGGTCGACGAGAGCTACTTGGTGCAGCAGAACAGTGGAAAGGAGCATGCAGAGAGAGGTCAGAGTGGATGGAAGGGAATTGGCATGCAGCCACTGGCAGCAATTGACGGTGTGCGATTTGACCAGGGGGGGTTTTCAGTGGAGGAACCTCAGGTCGGTGCGACATTCCCCATTGCCAGTGGACCTACGAATAGCGTATGGGGAAAGCGCTGCTGAAGTTTCAGGGATCGTAGCAGCTATCGACAACGGGGTTGACGCTAAAACACCCGCCGCCACACATTAGCTGGCCCAAGCTTGACATCCTTCGGGTGATTGATTGGCTCGTTTGGCCGCCGACGTCAACCAAGCTGTCAAAGCCACATTTCACCTCAGCCTCAATCGAGCTCCATCCTGGGCAGCTTGCGAGTCGTCCAACGTGTTCACTCCAGCAGGTCGGCCAGAGGTACCTCGATACCTTTCTCTCATCCAGCACTTCGCTCACTTTCCTATTTTACCGTTCGAACTTGCACTTGAACTTACACACGCAGCTTGACAATTTCATTGAGCTGTTGTATGAGTGTCAAATTCATTGATCTCAGAGAGTTCCGATGAGCGCTGAATGATCACTCACACACCGCAAAGATGGCCCGCATAACGCAGTTGGCCGTCTTCCTTACGCTTTCCCTTTTCAACATCTTTGGCGCACAGCTAGCCCTTGCCGCGGAGAATGGTCCCGGCTCGGCTTCCATCTTGACCTCCGAGGTCGGTCGCCTCAACAACGAAAGCTTGTTTTGGGGCCCCTATAAGTCGAACCTGTACTTCGGCGTCCGCAACAGGTCTCCCAAGAGTCTGTGGACTGGATTGATGTGGTCCAGAGTTGATAACTACCAAGACGTTCAGCAAGGTGTGTTGCAGAGCTGCTTCTTCAGACATCCATATAGACTAACATGATTAGGTTTCCGCTACACATGCGAACAACATGAAGGTCTCCATGGCTATGGATGGGACGAGTATGATGCCCGAAAGGGAGGTATCCAGTCTATTCATGATGAAGGCAACCAGATCGACATCACCACGTCGTTTGTCAAGGTCCCTGGTGGGGCCAACGGCGGCAGCTGGGCCGCAAGAATCAAAGGTGTTCCGAGAGAGGGTGCACCCGCCGACTTGAAGACCATGATCCACTACTACATTGCCGAAGACAACAGCGAAGCAGAGCTTGCCTTTTCAGGCGAGAACGACCCCACTGGCTTTGAAGGCGATGTCGCATTCGAGGGTTCTTCTAAGGAGCTTGGCAAGTACAAGCTGGTGATCACCAAGGGAGAGGGCAAGCACCCTTCCAGTAGTCACGATTTGGCCGACAGAAGACACCTGGACCGCACGACGGTACGGTCTCTGAATGTTCCCGAGGAGCATCAGTGGCAGGGCAAGGGCGTTGTCTTCAACCTGATCCAGGAGAGTGTCAAGTTTGTCCAGGAGAACTACGATACGAATGAGCCGCCCCCGGCATACCTCACCTACCAGGTCGAGAACAAGCCCGGAGAAGGCAACACGCACGTCGTCCAAAAGATGTTTGAAGGGGCATTCGAGTTTGATGTCATCTTTTCGTCTGCCTCTGCTGGCCCCGAGCTCACGAGCGCGGATGTGACGCGCGAGATCAAGTCGGTCACCGAATTCTTTGGAGAGCGCTTCTCTTCGATCTTCAGCCTGAAGGCTCCGTTCACTGCCGACAAGTACAAGAAGTTCGCCAAGAGCATGTTCTCTAACCTGCTCGGTGGCATCGGCTACTTCCATGGTTCTCAGCTGATCGATCGTTCTTACGCGCCCGAGTATGACGAGGAGAATGAAGGTTTCTGGGAAGAGACGGCTGCTGCGCGTGCGCGCAAGCAGCAGGAGTTGGAGGGCCCTTATGAACTCTTCACGGCCGTCCCTTCTCGTCCTTTCTTCCCTCGAGGATTTCTCTGGGACGAGGGTTATCACCTCATTCCCATCGCCGATTGGGACATTGATTTGACTTTAGACATCGTGAAGAGCTGGTTCAACACCATGGACGAAGACGGATGGATTCCTCGCGAGCAGATTCTCGGTCTTGAGGCACGCAGCAAGGTGCCCGAGGAGTTCCAGGTTCAGTATCCGCATTACGCCAACCCTCCCACTCTTTTCCTCATCATCGAAGGCTTCATGGAGAGGCTCCGTAAGACCAACGGCAGTCAACCCGCCGAAAAGGAGCACCTTGGTCCTCAGGCTTCCCTTCAGACTGCCCACCTGGACAACGTCGAGCTCGGGGAGGAGTTCCTCCGGAGGCTGTACCCGTTCGTTCGCGCGCAGTACGACTGGTTCCGCAAAACCCAGCGAGGAGACCTGAAGACCTACGACCGCGACGCGTTCTCAAACAAGGAGGGCTATAGATGGCGCGGCCGCACCGAGACCCACATCCTCACCAGCGGTCTTGATGACTACCCTCGCCCTCAACCCCCTCACCCCGGTGAACTCCACGTCGATCTTATGTCCTGGGTTGGACTAATGACCAAGTCGCTAATGAATATTGCCGACGCTTTGGGCATGGCGGAGCAGGTTGACGAGTTCAAGACTACCCTGAATGCCATCCGTCGCAACCTGAACGACCTCCACTGGTCTGAGAAGGAGGGCTGCTACTGCGATGCCACGATTGATGCCTACGAGGAGAACGTTCTCGTCTGTCACAAGGGCTACATCTCACTGTTCCCCTTCTTGGTCGGCCTCCTCGAGGTCGATGACCCCAAGTTGGGCAAGCTTCTCGATCTCCTCGGCGACGAGGAACACCTCTTCAGCCCCCACGGTCTGAGAAGTCTGAGCAAGCAGGACGAGTTCTACGGTACGGCCGAAAACTACTGGAGAAGCCCGGTGTGGATGCCAATCAACTACATGGCCGTCTCCCAGCTGAGAGTAAGTCAACAACCCATTCATTCTATTCTGAAAGAAACCCCATCACTGACTGTAGTCTTGTAGAACGTCGCCTCCCAAGATGGCCCTTACAGGGCCAAGGCCGCCGACCTCTTCACCCGCCTCCGCAAAAACCTTGTCGACACCGTGTACAACAGCTGGGAGAAGACTGGCTTCGCCTGGGAGCAGTACAACCCGGAGACGGGTGAGGGCCAGCGAACCCAGCACTTCACTGGCTGGACGAGCTTGGTCGTGAAGCTCATGGCCATGGAGGAGCCCAGCAAGGCCGGCGGCGGCCACGTCAAGGACGAGTTGTAGACCAATTACCTTTTTACTACCACCACACGACCGAAAGGCGCATCGAGAAGGGAGGGCATGGACGAAGCACGAAGAACCAAAAAAGCATAGTGGGATTTCGGGCGGCACGCTGGTTTGAGAGGCATGGAAAAGCTCGTCCTGGAATGAGATTTAGCGAAAAGGCCAACTCGGCTGGCTCAAAATTGTTCATGCAGGGTTCCTTTTTCCGGTTTAGTGACTATATTTGAAGGACGATGAGAGGCTTGACTCGGCTTTACCGAGTTTGATAGAAGTGTGCGTGCGTGCGTGTGTGTGTGTGTGCTGACAATTTAATGCTCGGCCGAGGAGTGTAAGCCATCGGTACCAAGAATGAAGAGGGATGTGTAAGCCGTCCTCAAGTCGGCACACGCACCCCTTCCCCGCCAACCAAACGGAGCGTGAAAGCGACGAGTGACCACGTAAGCGATCACATCGCGAGCATCGGCAGCCGCCTGATTGATCCAGGTAGTCTGTCAATTCAACTTCCCAAGTAAGATCATGTACGGTCTTTTTCCTTTGTTACTCAGAAGACAAGTCCCTAAAGAAAGTTTCCTCCGCCGCACCAAGACACGATGACGTTGTTTTGGCACCGCAGTCCACGAAGGATTCCACTCCGTCGAAAGGCAGTAGCAGTCAAAAGACCCGGAGTCGACTCCGCGTAGAGAAAGGCTGAAGACGTGGTCGAGGATGCGGGATCGCCCGCAGAGCAGCGAGTCGGTAAGGATCCGTTACTTCTGACAGCACACCTAATCCTTCTGCGTTTCGTGGTGATGTTACGTTCAACTGTCAAAGGACCCTCCCGCATGATGACTGGCGGAACTCTTGGTCCGTGGGTGCGGCGCCTTCGGGCTGGCAGGTTGTAGGCCTTGTGTCACCCTCCTTCATGCAGCATTCTTAGCCTTGTGACATTACTCAGCGTCTTTGGTCGACGGTGAGCAGAGGGGACGGAAAGACAGATTGCTGTGCCCCAGGGGGTTTGGAGCCTCAGTGGCCGCCCCAAAGTGACCTTGCATATCCAAATTTGCCATGCAGACCTCGTGTCACTACTCCAAGTTGAGTCTATTACCCTTTTTGGAAGTTTGTAAGGCTGGCAGGGGACTCAGCGAAGTGCTTTGTTTCACAGACATGAGGTCTCCCCCCTTCCCCTCGCCTTCTGTTCACATCGTATGGCAGGCTGTGTGTGTGCGTCTTTCTTCGTTAACTGGCTGCAGGACCGCTGTGGAACTCTGCCTGGCTCGGTGTCAGCAAGAGCACGGAGGGGGTGGTGGCATTGCACGTCGTAGGGCTGGGGCGACGCAAAGTGATATATCCTCAATCAGGCTTAGGCTTGGGGGCCCCGGACCAGGCAGATGGGAACGGGAGGACGGGCAGGATGTGATTGCTTTACATATCTAGCCTTCTTTGGGCGACTTCAGCTTGTGTTTGGTTGCTTTGGGTTCTCCAGGAATCGTGGAGATCCGGAGGGGAGCTTGATGTACATGCTGACGGATCGCACGGTTCTTGACTATCGCGTATGTAGGACTTTGGGGTCTAGAAAATGGTGGTCGCTAATACTTGTGTAGTGTGTACATGGTCTAAGTGGATTAGGACTATCTTGTTCGAGGCTCATCTAAGGGAGTAGGCAGATGTACAGCATCATGTTGCTAGACATCCCTGCTACCGGTTTCATCTGTGATCTTATCGTAGTTGTGACTTGGGAAGCCCTTCATGTTCACAGAAGCATGTCCGTTCTCTGCTCGACTCCGATTCCCTCGGCATCTCCCAACCAGTGTGGTAGGTACATTGCTACTAACAACACAGGAGCTTCTTCTGATACACTCAATCGAAAGCTACTCTTCTCTGTCAATCACAAGCCTTCCTCGACCACCGGTTCGTGGCTTGGAGCGACGGGAAGAGGTATGTCCGAGGTTAACTTCATGCCTGACCAGAGGAAGCTGCCAGGTCGGAGCTGTTCCGAGACCAAATCTTTCGTCCACAAAAATTCGATGCCGACTGCCTCAAAGAGCTGGCGCATCGGGTCCTCCATTTCCGCAGTCTTGGACTCGTGACCGGGCAGCGCGTACTCACACACCCCAACCTGGACTTATTTGAGATGTGGGAATTGGGTGGGTGCCACATCTGCTAGGTACTTCAGCGCCTTTGTCATCGTATGATGGAGATAACGTATCCTAAAACAACGAATAGACGGAGGTAGTAAAGATGCAAGTCGTGCATCAATGTTAGATGGTGGAACGATGTCCCGGATCAAGCGGCTGTCGAGGGACAGCTCCTCTAGCGCACCGTAAAATCGGAACCGTTCACTGTGGCGGAACTTGACATCCCAAAACTCCATGCCTTGGTGCGGTTGAAGGCAGTAGGAGACGTGAAGACTCTTGAGTCCGTTTTGCACCGGCTTGAGCGCCTTTCGCCACATGCAATTGTTCGAGAGGTTTGTGATCTCAAGATGCTCGAGGCCAGGCAGACTCAAAACCAGCTCCTCCAACTGAGGTTCGCGCATACCCGCGAGTGAAAGTCTCTTCAACTTTGGCAAGAAGTTGATAGGTCCATCCCGCTTGAGCGAGTCACGCGGGATCAGCCAATAGCCTCCTGTGCTAGCATGAATGGCTTCGACGTTTGGGGTCATGGTCTGCAGTTTGACAAAGTTTAGATAGAGTGCGCTCTGCCTTGCTATGCCGACTATCACACCCAGACGACATATTGAGGGCATTTTCAGCTTCAGCCAACCTCCATCGGGCCATAGCGGCTCATCATCACTATAACTGACGAGGAGGCTTCGCAAACGGGGACAGGACTGAATGGCCGTTACCAAGTCTCGCACCACGCCTTCCGGCTTGCTACTGTCCAGTGGCAGTGGCCTCAATGCATTCGCAGCGTAAAGTCTGCTGGCTGCTGACCACACTTCGGGGGCCAGATCTGAGTCCGAAAGACTGTCGGGGCTCGAGGGGATCTCAGGGGTCGAGGATCTCAGGGGATAAGCGTCGTCTGGCTCCCAGCATGCAATTTGCATGGCATCAACGTGTGAGGCCAAGTCAGGTCGCTCCTGAACGGTACGAATGAATTGCCGGATCAGGTTTGGTTGAGTGGTTATGGACTCGTTCCTGGGCCTTTGCCTGGGAATCTCCGTCTGTCTAACATGGAGGTTTCCCGTCGCGTAATAATGGTACAAGATCGGATAGGCTACTGCAGATATGCGCCTTGACACTCGGCAAAGGAAAGCCAATGCTCTCTTATCGTCCCGGACTTCGTGCGTGTCTGCGTGAGGGAAGGCGGCGGGGTCTCGACAATGGAAGCAGAGGTAGCCGAGTGTGATTTCGAGTATTTCAATAGGTAGAGACTCCATCGCATAGACTTTCAAGTTGTTGCAAGGGCGAAGAAGGGGAACGATGTCAAGAGAGGTTGGTAGGTCATGGGAGTTGGAGAGAAATTATTGGGAGGAATAGGGGAAGAAAGACGAGATACGGGTGAAGTTCCTGGCCCGTTCCTGTACGGCGCAGTATCCCGACTCCATGACCAAGGCTGGCAGGGTGCAGCATTGCGTTGGTCGCACATTGTGTTGGTGGCGTTCGTTGTTGGTCGTCGCTTGGCAAACAAAATCAAGCGCCCGGGTTGGAAGGACAAGGACGAGTCACTTATGCTAGTGTGCCGTCTTTCCCGATATCGTCTCGGCCAATTTCACCATCATCGTCACTCGACGGTTCCGACGCGATTGTGGTTGAGTAGAATTGAGTTGAATTAAAAGTTCGATGGTGGTTGAATCTGGACGGGAAGGATCTAGGTACCTAGGTTCGAACGACGGGAGGCCAAGACATTGGAGGGGAGGAGGATTGGATGGGCGGCAGCGAAGGCCCGGGCGCCGGCCCCTAGCACTGGGCAGGGAACTGCCACCTTCCATTGCGAAGTCACAAGTGCGAGCCTGCCTGCGTGCCTGCCCCGGGCCGCAAAGCTCAGACCTTCCACTGCCCTTAGTCACGGGTGGAGTTGAAGTTCTAACTTTTGGGACGGCCCCCAAACCGCAACGGCGAGCACTGGGTGGTAAGGTGCAACGTAGCACGTGGCTTCAAGCGCACTGGGCACTGCAATTTCCCTTAGGCAGCCGTTTCATGAGGAGCCCCCACCATCCTAGTCGCATCTCCGTCCACGTCGTCTCATCTTGCGCCTTCAACGACACTCTTTCAAGGGATCCTCTTCAATTGTCTCATCAGAGGTAACGCGAACAAATGGCGCCCCAAAGATACACGATGATCCCGAAGACTAGTTTGCCCATCGAAAAGCCTGACTAAGACTTGGCAGCTGGGCTGCAGGGCTGATGGAGCTACTGCGCTGCATCCGCTGACTCACAATGATTTCTATTATTTCGAGTCGGTCGAAGGATCATGGGCCTGCAACCGAGTTACACCCTTTGCCCAAAACACGAACCTTGCGGCAACAGCAGTCGCATTCTGTCACATTCGTCGCCTAGCGCTGTCGAGGCACGTCTGAAATCTGAAATACCGATGACTTCACGCTTCGGTCTTGCCCGATCCCTGATGCGCCCTAAGCCGTCTTGGGCACACTCGGTCAAGCACATATGGTTCTGCGTCGCAAAACAGACATGATGACTACAGCAACCAGTCAATGCCTTGTCGAGTGAGGCCAAAGGATCTTAGGTCATCTCCAGAAGCGGACGAGCACCGCCTATTGCCGTCTCTCCGGATGCTTCACGAGGCCCCCACGGAGCCAAGGCAGTAAATCTGTGTGAGCGGAGTCTCCGGCATCACCCATCTTGGTCCTTCGATACCCGTCTTTTCCTGCCGGACACTTCGTGATGCCTTGTGTTCACCGTCACATGCCCCACGAGGCGAAAACGGTGGATGGTCTTTTTTCTGTGCCCAGGTGCCTACGACACAGGTGACTCTTCACCGGCTCACTCGCAGCGTCGATCATTGCCGGGGGAACAACCGCCAGTGTCTTACCAATGACGGGACGAACGGCGATTAGCGGACCGTCCGTTCCTCACCGACTATAGGACTCGAACACCGAACACTCCGGAGCTTTGTAATGACTGCACCTAGAAACCCATGGGTGACGCCGGAGGTAGTCCCAGGCTCTACTTTCAACGAATCGAGATTGCACGGGTGATTGTCAAGCTCTTGGGCGGTTAGATTATTCCCCTGTCGCATTATCGGTCAATTGCTTAGCCAAGATCCGCTGGTTACCCTCATGCCAGCCTCCATCCCTCCAATCGACCCTCCATCGTCCCCCACCTTAGACGAGAGTCCTAATCTTTGCTTGAACAAAAGGACATCTGCACAGCCTCGAAGATGCTGACAGAGATATGCCCTGTATATGCCCTGTATATGCCCTGTAGCTGCTACGCGATCTCTGCCGGGGCGACCTGAGACGTCCAGTATCTCTACCTTAGGCAGGCTAGGCTGGTGCTTACTTTTCCTCTGCACAGGTGGTCCCCTTGGACTACTCAGCCCTACACGTCCGGCCTATTCCCTGTCGGCGGCTCTCCCATTCGTCAAAAGACACTCGCTCACAATCTTTTCCTGTCTCTTCTAGCGCGTCGACTAATGATGATGCACCAGTCCGTGTAACCAAACCCGTCGCCCTGGATTCCGTCCCTGTCCCCTTGTTTCCAAAAGTTCGGAAAACGAGCCACACGCTTGGCCTTTGACGTCCAGAAACGGAAATAGGCCATTGATATGACAGCCTATTGCGGAGCTGCTGGGGGACATGGACATCTGCCCAGATCACCGCACCCAGGCCTGCGGCACTCCGGCGCATGGCTCTACCTTGCTTACCCTCGTAGAGCTCGCACATCGCATCTCACCATGACGAGGAACACTGCGAAGCCCACCATCACGTCGCCCGGGTTTCGGGTCTGCCGTATGCCGAGTGGTCTGCAGACCGATGACAGTGACACACACGCAACCAACATGCACGCAGACACCACACGCAGACACATGCGTGCGCGCGAAGGACAGTGATGTCTGTCGACTTCCTTCGTTCGCGTAATCCAGGGAATGAGTGAGTGTTACACACGCCCAGCGTCCAGCGGGAAAAAGGCTAAAGGCTTTTCTTCAAGGTCCTTTTCCCACCTGCCCCCGGTCGTTTTTCGCTAGCTACCTACCTAGGCCATGTCATCGCCCTCCACATACCAAATTTGGAAAGAAAAAGGGCTGCCTAGAGAGCCGTGGGGGCCGTGCCGAAACTAGCATCGTAGGTATCTCATTTCCCATAAGCCATGGCCGTTGCGGTACCCGTTACCGGGCGCCCGCGCCTCCTCACACGGAGGCTGAGATGTCAATTTGGGTCACCATGACTGGTTCTCTTTTTCCCGAGGTAAGGCTGGGATCTCACTCCGTGCCTATCTATCTCACCCTACGCAATGAGCCTCATCAAACCCCTTCCCTCAACGAGAGAATTTGGATGCCTTGAGGCCTATATAAACACTCGATATATCCCCTCTGAGGCAGAAATTTAATCATCATCACACTCGCAATCCAGACTCACAAGCCAAACACTGCTCTACAACAACCTCTGAACATCTCAGTCTTCCTTCTCACACACGAACACACATCACTTACACCACCAACAACCACCTCTATCACAAAGCTTCCCACACACACAAACACACAACCCAAAACTTCCATACAATGGCCGCCTTCACTCTCATCTTCACTCCCACTACCGCCGTCTATGGACGCTCCGGCTACAACAAGGACGGCGACGACGAGGAGAAGAACGACCGCGGCCGCTCCGGATACAACAAGGACGGCGATGACGACGACGAGGGCCAGAACAAGGGCCGCTCCGGCTACAACAAGGATGGCGATGACGAGGAGGATAAATAGGCGTCTCACCTCCTTTTCCCGAGTCCTTGATCTCACTAGACTCGGATGCCGGCTTGCATCTTTTAAACTTCTGCCGCAGCTGCCTTTCGAGCCAATATCTTGAACAACACGACGGCCCGCTTCAGACATGCGGGCCCAACACTTCCTATCTTATCAGCATTAGACCGGAGTTATCTCTTTCTTCCGTCCGCCCATCAAGTCCTTCCTTCCTTGCGCGAGTACGGAAGCCAGGATTCAAACGGTGCTGGCGGCGGCTTTTCTTATCCTTTCTTATCTCACGCATTGGGCCGGAGTTCGGGGTAGACGGTAGAATCGCGACGGACCACACTCCTTGTTTTCTCTTCTGTCACCGGGATTGGAATTGCATCGCAAGCACTACTTCGAGTAGAATAGTTCCTTTTGTCGCATTGGGCCGGCGTTAACGGATTCGACTCGCATCTCTCTCTCTCTCTCTTTCTCTCTTTCTTTTGTCTCCAACAGATTAGATTTGAATACATGAGGACTTTCACCGTCTAGGATTCGATATTTGCACAATCGCTATTTTCCTACACAAAACCTGAGAGCCAAATGTGTCAGTAATGTGCCAAAATGTGAGAGATGAAAAAAAAATCTCGTCACTCACTTCTCAAAGATCACCCCGAGTACCTCTTCCACGTCTCCCGACTCGACACGGCCCGTAATCTTGGCAAGACTTTCTGCCGCGTATCGAAGATGTTCCGCCGCCAGGACGATATCAGGCTCCTCGCCGTCTTCTTCTTCAGGGTGTGCGACCGTCATGAACTCATCAAGGAAACCGCGGCACTGCTCGAGCAACTGCGCCTGCCTGGCCGTGACGCCCAGCAGGTCTTGCTGGTCTACAGGAAGGGACGTCATGCCGGCGAACGATTCGACGAGCCGGTCGATGAGCCCATGGATCGCGCCTGGGTCATTTTGACCAGTAGTTTTAGCTTGCGCTTCGCGGCAGGAGATGGTGATGAGCTCCATTGTGCTGATATTGGGGATGTGAGATGCTGCTTCGTTTCGAAACTGCTCGAGGAGGGTGGAGAAGCTGGCGGCGTCAACGGCGTCGCGCTTGTTGACCACGATTAAGCAGGCCTGAGCCTTTGAAGCCAGCTTCAGTGTTTCCGCATCGTAGTTGATCCGGAAGCCGCCGTCGGGGCCAGACTCGACGGCCGCTAGGACGATGATGATGTCGGATTCCGACGCCTTCTGCTTCGCGCGCCGGATACCCTCCTCTTCAACAATCCCCAAGACCGGTTCAAAGAGGTCACCACTCTCGCCGGCAGCAAGTTTCGTCCTGATGCCAGCCGTGTCCGCGAATGAGCAAAGATACCCACGCATATCGAGACTAACCTCGACGATATCTCGCGTCGTGCCCGCCTCCATCGACACGATGGACGCCTCCCTCCCGACAACAAGATTCATGAGCGAGCTCTTGCCGACATTGGGCGGACCAAGGAGGGCGATACGGATGCCGTTGCGTAGGAGCTCGCTGCGCTGACTGGCGCCCTCGTGGACCCGAATACTGTGCCGCATATCGGCGACGAGCGCGCTGACGTTGCTCATCAGCTCCGAGGGGGATTCGTCAAAGTGCTGGTCCTCAGAGAAGTCGATGAGCGCCTCGATCTCGCCCCTGGCTAGGAGGAGCTGCTCGCGCCAACTCTCGTAAGTCCGTCCCAGGACGCCCGAGCTGCCGCGCACCGCGGCCCGGCGCTGCTGCTCGGTGTCGGCGGATAGCGTGTCGCCCAGGGACTCCACCTGGGCGAGGTCGAGCCTGTCGTTGAGAAAGGCTCGCTTGGTGAATTCGCCCGGTTCGGCGTAGCGGATGACGCCGTCGGATGCGCATCTCGGGATCGCAGAGAGAACTGCCTTGACCGTTGCGGGGCCGCCGTGAACGTGCAGTTCCAGGACATCTTCTCCGGTTACCGTTTGCGGTCCGGGGAAATGCAGCACCAAGGCATTCGAATCAAGAATCGGTGCCTCGTCGCCGGCTTGCACATCAACGAGAGTTCTGACTGATGCATATCGAGGTTTCGGCATTGCCTTGTTCGGGCATAAGCCTTTGTAGACCTGAGTTGGGTTTAGTCGTAGTTTCAAGTAACATGTCTAGTGCCGCTCACGTCTATACATCCTGGACCAGACACGCGTATTACAGCGATGCCGGCCCGGCCCTGTGCTGTGGACAAGGCATAAATGGTGTCTTCCTTGAAAATAATCTCTGCAGTAGATGTGATGTGTCGTGACTGAGTCCATGTGTCTTGGAGAGCATTTCGTTGGTGGAAAGGGCCCAAGGCAGTTGGTCGTAGCGCAGGCGGCTGGGTTCCCAAGGAACGATAAACTTGACCGTTAAGACATCTTACAGTTCGTACGGGGAGGTTTCTGCCGAGGCTCCTCGTCGACCGAAGGAGGGCATGCATGGACTACTACAACAGTGCAATGAATTTTTTTTTCGGACGTTCATTAACTGCAGAGCAACTACATCTGCATTATGATAAAAAAAATTACATGAATGCGATCTGACATGCGAGAGATGAGAGGACGAAATGCTCGATGAACGGCCGAGTATCGCGTCCGTAGGTTGACGCAGTTCCAATTTGGGGGCTATTGCAATTCATAGCGTCCCATTGGTCGGCCGGGCCGCTTTGCACCCGAGCTTATCGCGATAACGACCATACCCCTGCAACTTGCCCGTTGGAATGGAATTTTTTTTGTAGCGTCGAGAGCGAGGAAAACCAACCTGCAAGCGCCCCGCCGCCTCGGTTTTCTTCTAATACTCGACTTACGGCAGGGCCTTTTGACAACTCTCAACCTCGTCCATTTTCGCCAAAAGTTGCCACAATGGCGTCCGACGAGATTATCTGGTAAGCTTGGATTTGAACAGGTACAAGTAGACTTCAATTCTAACCCGCCCTCGCTAGGCAAATCATCAACCAGCAGTTCTGCAGTTTCAAACTCTCCACAGAGAAGAAGCAGACGTTCTGCAGAAACGAGAACAATGTCACAGGTCTCTGCAACAGACAATCATGCCCTCTGGCAAATTCTCGCTATGCCACCGTTCGACGCGCTCCGAACAAGGACACGCTGTACCTTTACATGAAGACGATCGAACGTGCGCACATGCCCTCAAAGCTATGGGAGCGCATCAAGCTGCCCAACAACTACGCCAAGGCCTTGGAGATGCTCGATGAGAAGCTCATCTACTGGCCCAAGTTCCTCGTCCACAAGTGCAAACAGCGTCTCACCCGTCTGACACAAGTCAATATTCGCATGCGAAAGATCGCCGCCGAGGAGGAGCGCATGGGCGAGAAGCTGGTACCGAAGATGGCACCCAAGATCCGGCGCCGCGAGGAGGCCAGAGAGCGCAAGGCGGAGGCTGCTGCGAAGCTGGAGCGTACCATTGAGCGCGAGCTGGTCGAGAGATTACGTTCCGGTGCCTACGGCGATCAACCCCTCAACGTCAGCGAGTCAATCTGGAGGAGGGTTCTCAATTCCATGGAGAAGGAGGGCGCCGGCAAGCGTGATAAGGACATGGACCCCGGTATGGAGTCCGACCAGGAGGGCGAGGAGGACGACGAGTCTGAGGACGACTTGGAGAAGGAAGTCGAGTACGTCTCCGACATTGAAGAGAGTGACGAGGAGCTCGAGGACATTGAGGACTGGCTCGAGAGCGACGATGATGCCGAGGATGACGAGGAGGAGGAGGACGACGACTCTGAAGACAGCGATGAGGAAGCGGCTCGCAAGGCTGGGGACAAGCGGAAGCGCGGCCGGGCGGTCAAGATGAACCAGAAGAGGCTGAAGCAGAAGCAGGAGGAGCGCCCCAAGATTGCGGAGGAATTGACCTGGTAAGAGGCTCGCGTGGAATTCCAATGGCGTCTGGCGCGGATACCTTTACGGCTGACTACGGGACGGAAAATCAAAATCTGGGGGCATTGTGCATACCATGCGTGTATTGTGATATACCTACTATCAGAATGGCTGTTTAATATTGCTGCATTGTCGTTCATCGACTGCATGTCGTGGTCGTCGCGAGTACTTGAATCTGTCTCACACTTCACTTTTACCTTAAACGCTTACCTCTAGTACCTTGTCTCAACCACAGACCGCTTGAAATGTGAGGTCGTTGATTTGTGATTGCCCAGTGGTATGTATGCAAAAGGTACTTGTGCAAAGCTCTAGTACAAAATCTTCCACATCCGGAGACTCGAAATGCATTCAGCCTGAACCGGTGATCCATGCTTCACCGAAAGTTACTCGAGCCGGGGTTCCTCGGTGAAGACAAAGCGCCTCTATTAGTGCAAGTTCCTTTAGGACAATGCGGGTAGGCCTAGGCCCCACAGTACTGCATCATTCCGTCGGGCGACAAGTGTCGGACCCCGTCAACCCAGGTCGCTTCTCGTTCCCTATCATTCAAGACGGGCCTATTTGAAACGGACCACTTCAAGCAAGCCTCCAAAATTAAAACTCCACGACCAAAACACCCGCCGGCTCTGGGGATTCCAAACTTCTCCTTTACCCACTACCTTTTTCGACAGCGAGCGAGCGATTTTGCCTACGAATCCCGACGAGCAGCAGCAGCCCTCGTGCCCGGAGCAGAGCTGTTTACCCCAACCCGTCCGAAAGCAGTCGAAAGCAGCGCTTTTGCCTCTGCCCCGCAGGATCCTCGCGACGAGGAACAGGCACGATGTCATCTTGGTACTCGAGGATCCTCACCAACACCACCTCTCAGATCTCGAACCTGCAGAGTCGATTGTTGCAGAGCGAAAATGACGGCGACACGGAAGACGATACCCATGTGTGCAGGGTGCTGAGAGGCTATTATACCGAGAAGGGCCGTACGTTTCCAGGTTGGCTGCCGCCCGACCCAAAGGCACCACCCCCTGTAACTCCCGTCTACGCCCAACCGGCCCAACAAGTCGGCTCGCGATACGGAGGTCTGCAGCAGCAACAGCAAGCTGGCCCTGCGACGGGGTTGAGCTCGCTGTGGGACAACAACGGGGGCGCACAACCAAGACAGGACACGATGAGCCTGCGACAAGGCCGCGGAGCTCCCCCACCGATGCGAGGCGCAGAGCAGCAGCCCGCGCGATTGAGCCCCTTTGCCCGAGCCGGAGACAATGGACGTGAAGAAGTGCAGGCCCGACCCCTGCCCAGTCAGCGAGCGGGCAGCTACCAGCAAAGTGCGGCGTATGGAAGGGACACGACCAGCACACCGCCGGGCAGCTCAGCGGGCGGCTCAGCAGGCGGCTCAGCACAAGATCGGCTTAAGCAGCGACTATGGGGAGGTGCGAGAACAACCAGCCCCGCGTCCGGAGGCCAAGGACCATTCCAACCACCGACGGGCAGAGGCGGAAGCGGTGACTACGAGGAGCGATTTGCCCCGGGCGGCATGTACGATGGGAACACTGGCGGAAGCGGAGGCGGAGGTGGAGGCGGAGGCAGGCCATTTGTGGCCTCCAACTCTCCGTGGTCGAACAATGATCCTGGATATGGCGGCGGCGGCGGCGGCGGCAGTGGTGGTGGTAGTAGTGGGCGAACAGGACTGCCTGCTGGCCCAAGACGTCAAGGTCTCCCAAGTGGTCCTCGTATGAGGTAGGGTAGGGTGGATCGTATCGGGCGACGCGTAAAGAACAGGCGAGAACACTTATCGGGGATGCCGGAATTCCGGAATTCTGTTCGGGGTTTCCTCATTACGATGCGGGCATTCGCGGTCAAGATGCTTGGCAGGCCAGAGCCAATAGTCGTCGGCTAATAACGAGGACCTGCGGACCGTACGTAGACGGTGAGCAGCGCAGACCCTCAGTGCCGGACGCGAGAGTGCGGATGTTGCTGGCAGACATGTATCCGGAAAGGTGCGAGAGCAGAGCTGGGGCACATACATACACACAATACAGACACTACTAATCTTTCAATTCGACTGAATAGACTGACTAGTCTTGTGGGTTGTCAATGACAGCTGGGCTTCAGCGAAAGCTGCAAGTATGCCGCAAGCTTCCATCGTCATGGAGTACGTTTTGTGTGCGAAATAGTAAAGGCAAATGAGTCACGGCTGTTGCTATACCAAGAAAAACATGAAAAGAACGGCGATTCCGCGATGAAGCTTCGTCCCGCGAGTCCGAATCTGGCGACGAAGCGAGTTGCTTGCGCGTGCAATGTGCAGCCTCGGAAGGGCCAACCGGAGGCGCGAATGACGACGCATGCATGCTGCAGATGACATGGTTCACCTCGAGGCGTGGGTAGCTGTACCGCCAGAATACGCTAAAATGCTGCCTAAAATGCGGTACAGATACGGTGGGAACAGCCCCTCCGAGACATGGATGCAAGCTTTCGCAGCGGGGTGATTCAGTGACGGAAGTGGGTGGCCACGCCCCTCAGAGGGCGACGACTGCGCAGCACCTTGGGCTGCTCGCCCCAACGTCCCATATCATTAGCCACAGTTCACTCACATGCCACTTCCCCGGATCATCCTCGATTCTTTCTTGTCACTTTATTTCTTTAGGAAACTCTAACAGTAGAGCCACAGTCACTGTATTTCGGTTCTCTGAATAGTTTCATCCGAAACAACTGTAGGCCTCGGAGCCTCGTCTTCGTACACCCAGCTTACCTAGCTTACATCACTTCCGGCGCACTGCACGATGACCTCAGACTCGGATCCCCCGCCGTCGGCAAACGCTCCACCACCGACGCGGCCTCGCTCGCCATCGGGCAGCTTTTATGCCCTCAGCGATGACGAAGAAGGCGATTACAATACAATCACGCATACGGAAACAGGACGGGGGGTCAAGCTGCTTTTCTCTAAGAGCAAGGTAAGTTACGAAAACCACTCTCGCCACCCACCTCAAAGACCGGGACTAACGGAACGTTGGAACGACGCAGGTCTACGTGCACCCCACGCCATCAGCAAAAGATAATATCCCCGGCTACATAGCATTGCTCCAGCAAAAAGGAGGCTCAACCGAACGACCGACGTCCTCCTCTTCTCGAGACTCCCACAACCCACCTCCCTCCAACCTGCTCCTAGCATGGCTCCCCGAAGCCTCCCTCGGCGAATCCGAGAGCATTTACGTCAAGGTTGACCTCAGCGAGGGTGAATCGCCGCCCAAGCAGTCATACCTAGTACCCCCTCCGCCGACAGTCACATCCCACAGAGGCTCCGTAGGCACCTATGCTTTCGCCATCCCCGTCAGCGCAATCTACTCGCTGCTTGTGAGGCCACCGAGTCTGGGCTGGTGGTTCGGCTCCTTGATCATCAACTCGAAGGCCGGCGACAGCTTTCCCGCGCTGTTCTTCCACGACAGCGAATGTCAAAGCACGATCCTCAAGCGAAAGAGGCGGACGAGGGACAGCTTTGACCCTTTTGGTGACAGGGGTGAGATGTTCTGGGGTGGCGACGAGGTACTGCGTTGGTTGCGGCGCTATGTTCCGATCGAGAGATCCGGCGCCGAGCCCAACATTTACCTGGTTGAACCTTCAAAGGAGGATAGCGAGGCATTCAGCGGCAAGCTCACTTCCAGCACGGCCCAAGCCGGTCAAAAAGATGGCACGGGGACTCGAGCTGGCAGCGCCGGTCCTAGTGGCGACGCGCAGATGGACCCCTTTGTGAAGTTTGTCAAAGAAACTGGATGGAACATCATGGAGAAGTTCAGCAAGGTTACCACTTTTACCAGACGGGCCGCTCAAGACGTCATACAGAATCCAAACGTTCCCCCGCAAGTTAAGAGGCTTCTTCGAAATCCAGAGGTACAGACGCTCCAGGATGAGTTCGACAGTGCTAGGATATACCTGGCACGCTGGGCCATGGGAATCGCCGAACAAAGTGAACGAGACCGGAGCCAGAGGATATGGACTGCGAAGGAGGTCTTGGAGCTTGAAGATACTGATGTTGGGGAGTTTGAGCTCCTGGACGGCAGTAGCACCATGTCACTGGAGGACAGAAGGAAAACAGTAACATTGAAAGAATGGAACACTTTCTTTGACCAACGAACCGGTAGGCTATCTGTCACTGTCGACGAAGTCAAGGAACGGGTGTTCCACGGAGGACTCGACCCTGACGATGGTGTGAGAAAAGAAGCTTGGCTCTTTATCCTCGGTGTTTATGACTGGTACAGTACTGCGGAGGAGCGGAAAGCCCATCTCGCGTCTCTACGAGATGAATATGTCAAGTTGAAGGGCGCATGGTGGGAGAGACTCGTAGACCTGGGAGGTGAGGGCGAGCAGGGCGAGTGGTGGCGTGAGCAGCGTGGACGTATCGGTAAGCTTCGACATTGTTTGTGTGCATCTGATCTCGACTGACCTTATTGCAGAAAAGGATGTTCACCGAACAGATCGGAACGTGCCCATCTTCGCCGGGGAAGACATCCCGCACCCTGACCCAGACTCCCCCTTTTCCGAGGTCGGCACCAACGTTCATCTCGAGCAAATGAAGGACATGCTCCTGACATACAACGAGTACAACAAGGACCTCGGCTATGTGCAGGGCATGTCTGATCTCCTCGCTCCCATTTACGCCGTCATGCAGGACGACGCCATCGCCTTTTGGGGCTTTCAGCACTTCATGGATCGCATGGAGCGCAACTTCCTCCGCGATCAGTCGGGCATGCGGTCTCAGCTATTGACCCTTGACCATCTTGTTCAATTCATGGATCCCAAACTCTACGCCCACCTGCAGTCTGCCGACAGCACCAACTTCTTTTTCTTCTTCCGCATGTTGCTTGTCTGGTATAAACGTGAGTTCGAGTGGATGGACGTGCTACATCTTTGGGAGACTCTTTGGACGGACTACCTGAGCAGCAGCTTCCACCTCTTTGTGGCCTTGGCCATCTTGGAGAAGCATCGAGACGTCATCATGACCCACCTGCAGCATTTTGATGAGGTGCTCAAATATGGTACGAGATCCTCTAATGTATCTTGCAACCTAGACATACTGATATTGTATAGTAAACGAGCTGTCCAATACAATGGATCTCGACTCAACTCTCATTCGCGCGGAAGCGCTGTTCCGTCGCTTCCACCGCCTGGTTGAGGCAGTCGATAAGAAGGGCAACTTCCCAGGCCCGAGGATCCGAGACCCAGGTTCTCCTTCCAAGTCATCGTCCACCGACAAAACTCCACAGGATGGCCAAAGCAGTGCAGGCCCAGCATCGCCTCTCAAGGACAAGAGCAAGGTAGCCGAAGAGCCTCAGGTCCAAAAGGTCATCACCCCAGAGTTGAGAGAGCTTCTCAGTCGGAAGGTCGTGATCTTGCCGCGGAAAGAGGTAGCGAAGAAGGGCGACGGACCCGGGAGGTCATGAATAACACAACGACACGAGAAAACGACTGGAAAATTTTGTTCCACGGGTTGGAAACGGGTGGTGATGCATTTTGGGCGTCTGGGTGTTGCGTCTGGACTTGATTACGATCAGGGTGAGAACACTTGCGTGGCAATGTGTACGATACGTCTGTCCCCTAATACAAATATTTTGACGGCGTCCATGAGAGAAACATGACAGTGACTCTGTCCTTCTAGTTTTCCCGAAAAAGAGGTGTGGTCGATGGCCCCACGTGTGACGCCGATGGGGGCCTGAAAACCCGGCTTCAACATAGGATGCCTCTCCGGCTCAGCAAAACCCGGGTTCAGGGGCAGCCGCAGCTCGGGACAACTGTCCCATTGATTAGGCATGCAAGGAGAAAAAAAGTGCCAGCATTGGGCTCTGCTATATTCCGCAGTCTGCATCTAATCTGATCTAAGTCGTGTTAGACCGCGTTGAGTGCATCGTTAGCCTCATCCCGCAGGGACGCGGTCAGCTTTTGGTAGTGGCTGCCACCCCCTTTTTGGTCTGGAGCTAGCATCGTTGTCTCCCCCCCACCCCTCATACCCCTCTTCGATATTCATTGCCCCCCATCCATGTTCGTCAAAGGTTCGGAACCTGTGACCTCACCAGCTCCGGCTTGGCCTTCACGTCATGCGTTCGGCAAGGGAGTCCGCTAGTGTGGTCACCCGGGCAGGACGGCCAGGTAAGCCCAAGCAAGGCATCAACAAGAATAACGGTACTGCCTCAAGCCTAACGTGTCTTTCAGGAGGGATGGAGATTTTAAATCGTTTTGTCAAAGGGGGACGTAAGTAGAGTGTCATTGGAGACCTCTGTGTTCATTAATTTTGGTGTGTGTATCTCGAGTTTTTTGGCCCTTGATCTAGTATAGAATCCAGGCTGCCGCCCCCTTTACCTTGTTTCGAGACATCACACGGACAACTCACTTTACATATCAGCACTTGTAGTTGGCGGCGTCACGTTCGGATCTCAGCCTTCGGCACTCAGTCCCCAGCCCACGTCCTACAACTTAATATCTACCCCCCTCCTGGCGATTTCCCGCTTGGCAAAGTTTTCCAACACAACTCGAACACTCGAAATAAGCATAAAAACCCCGTCAACAACACTTTTCCAACTAGAAGTAGAAGAAGAAGATAAAAAAAAGGGAACTAAGAGACAAGAAAAGAACGTATTCCCTTCCGCAACCATGGCGTCGCACCACGGCGGTCCTCCAGTCGCCGAAGTAGTCAAGGAATCGAGCCGCGCTTCCGTTGTCGTCAACGAAGCCTCCCGGGGCCCGGTCAACAACGAGATTGTGGTCGCGAACCGAGAGAGAGAGGTCGCCGTCGTGCCGCCGGGGGCGCAAGTCATCAACGAGGTCACCACCACCGAGGTCTTCCCCCACGGCCCGGGATACGGGTACGGATACGGACCCGGACCGGTGGGTTTCCAGCTCTGTTCGCAGTGTCGGCGTTGTGAGTAACACTCTCCCGTTTTACATCTGCTGCCATCTTCGTCTACGAGCGTCATCGTTTGCCCGCCCTTGGACCTCAACGACCGGAGGGGGACGGTGACTTCTTCCAATTTGACCTTTTTTTTTTTTTTTGGTTTCATCTCACTCGATCCTGTGAAACTAACTAACATCACATCTTACCACCCCCAACAGCCTGGCACTCCTCCTTCTCCGAGACGGTCTGCTACCGCTGCCGCTCGTCGTATAGCTACCGAGACCGCTTCGACGACCGATACAGCTACCGATCGGGGTACAGCTCGAGCTACGGCTACGGGTCCGAGCGGTGCTCCTACTGCGAGCGGTTGCGGTTCGAGGGCCGCGGCGGCGTCGGCATCTGTCGGGACCGTTGCGGCCGGCCCGCGTTGTGCAGAACGCTGCCGCGGCGGGTCTTGGTTGAGAAGAAGACTGTGAAGAAGTATTACTACTAAAGGGGTTTTCAAGTGTGTGCCTTTTATTTGGATGGATGTGTCGTTGGACCGTTGGTTTCTGCCTGACTTTGGTTCTTCTTCTTTTCTCTGCCATTGCGGTGATTCAGAGGCTGCGGTTCAGGTGGACGTTTAGGTCACATTGATATTTGCAATGTCGGGCGTGTTGATGGTTTTTTGGTCCTCATCTTTTCTTTCTTTCTTTCTCATCTGTTTCTTGCATGTACGTTTTCTCACTATGTTTTGTGTGGAAGGTGCCCGCCCAGGTGTATTGAGTAGGACGGGAACACTGTTTGTTTGAAGGCATCTCCTTTCGATATCTCATCACGTACTTGGTATTGTAAGGTGACAATCGTCACCCCGAGTGGGTGTGATTGCTGTCTAGACTTTTCTTTTTTTTCAAACGCAAGTTTGTCTTTCTGCGTCATGTAGCCAGCTTTGGGACAACAGCTTAAACAGCTTAATCTATGCAAATTCGGTACTCATATGCTGACTTGGCACAGAAAGGTCCCCCTTTCTGCATTCTTCCTGCCCCTGAGAGACCTTCAGATCCATGGACACTTCGACGCCACTTGGATAGAAGTCCCAGTCTTCCAGTCAACGATAAGGCAGGTAAGGAAGGCACCTGGAGTAGTTGCCCAAAAAGGTGATCAGACTTTCCCCTGAGGAAGGCACGCCTCACGTGCCCACCCACTGCCTGCCTCACACCACCACCTTGCTGCCTACCTTACCTACCCTTCCTACCTGCCTGCCCCAAGGGTATATACCCCCAACAAAAAGAAGAGCTCCCATCACAAGTTCAGCTATAATGCAGACCTTCCTAACCAGTTGGTCTAGTTGGTAAAAGTCGGTGAGCCACATATAGGGAGTCACAAATACTACCATACCCACCGGGGTTCGAGTTCCCTATCACCTTGTGATCGACAGGCTCGGGTAGCGCGGGGTCCCTTCGGGGATTGAGCGTCGAAAAGAAAATATTGCTTTTGCTATTTTTGCAGTCTTTTTGATGGTGGTTTTGCCATTTGTTTTGCTGATTCTGTTGAACTGTTTTGTTGCTGCTGCTGTCGCTGCTGTTGGTGCCTGAGGGAGCGGACGGGTGCGAAGATGGCTTGGGCGCATTGTTTTGCGGCTCTGCCCAATTCTTTGCACCTCCCAAGGGAGTTCGCTGGTTCCTGTTGCCCAAATGTTGACTTCGTTGCTGATTTCATTCTTTGTTCATGAGGTAGTCTTCATGAGAGCGCTTAAGGAGGAGGATGCGAAGCACTCAATTCCGTTGCCCAGATAGACAAGCACGTGTAAGTGCCCCTGATGGACACGAGAGAGCGGACTGCACAATGGAAAAGAACCCCTTTATATTACATGAACAAGCGAGAAGTGTATCATATGAAGTTTTTGTTCTTCGATTTTGCCAGCAACTTGTAATCTTGTAACGACACATGTCCACGGACGTTACCCCTTTTTTGGGCGTATCCGCTAGGAACGAAGCTTTCGCAGGATTTCGACTTGATATTGACCCGTGAATTCGTTTGGCAAGTCGAGCATGTAGTCTAAGCAGGACGTAGACCACAAGAAATCTTTCAGTTTTCACGCCAACATACACCAGACTCCCTCATAAAAAAGAAAAAATCCTGTCCGAGCAATCTTTTTCCACACCTTTCTCCATCGAACAGTCGCGGGTATCGGAGATGGCGTCGAGGACGCCGAAGCGGTGGAGCCTCGGTTCGAGGACTGGCTGATGCGACTCTGTCTGGATAGTTGGAAGAAGGCAGCGTACGTCCAGAAGTAGAGATAATCCTCTCGTGGGACGCCTGTAGACGGCATGGTCTGCTTGGGCTCGATCACTAGATCTTCTGGACGCTCTTCATCGTTCAAGTTGGTCTGATGGCCGAAGGAAATATCATCTGCAGGTGCTCTAGCATATCCGTGCCATTGATATGGGTTATGGTATATCTCACTTGAAGACCACACGACCTCGAAAGTTGGCTCTGTGTTGGCCGTGCCAGAAAATCCTGGATAATTCCTCGTGGGGTTGCCTCGGGTCAGCCTATACCATACAACCTATTTATGTGACTTCGGCCACTCGTGAGGATTCAGTAGAATGCCAAAAACCATCGGCAGTCGCCATGTCGAAGCACCGTGCCAGCCGCTCCATGGCCAGGTGGGATACCGGCATCAGCCACCCAGGTCTTCGAATCAGAAACCACAAATCTTCTTCTCCCAAATGAGGGCAAAGTCAAAGTACGAGTCGGGTATCTCGTAAAATAGAATGGCGAGCAGCGGCGGAGACGAAATGGCCGACATACCTTCAAGGGCCGGCAACCGATCACCCTGGAAGGTCATGAGTCTGCCGCTGAAGAGCTCGACGCACTCGAGGAGAGCCAGACCATCGTACCCGGCGGTCTGGCGCACGTTGGGGCGGTTTCCCTCGAAGCGATCTGCGATTTCTTCACTTGCCGAGTGCGCCGCGTTGAACAGGAGCCAGCACAGGGGGCACTTGTCTCTTTTGCGGTAGATTTCGTCGAAGTAGCCCAGTTCCCGCGGCTGCAGTCCCACAGGGTCGACTGGACATGCGAGGAAGCCTGTAGTAATTCCTCGGCGGAGAGGTTGAGTTGGTTGCAAGTCGAGCATAATTTGTCAACAGGAGGGTGGTATTCTATGGCTCTCTTCAGTGCGCCTACCGCAGGCCTGCATCAGCCGTCTTCAAGATCACGGCCTTCACTATCGGAGCACAACTTTGAATACTGATTCGGATCACAAACGACAAAGCCTGATGGTTGCCGTCGTGTAGTTCAATTCACAAAAGTAGCGCATACTCGCGCAAGGCGTGAGTGTGAGACTAATGTCGAGGCATGCTGGGCCACCCTCTCTCAAGAGACACCATCCTGCCCAAGCAGCTAGCTTGCAGAGCTGAAAGTTACGATTGCTTGTGATAGGCTGGCGTCTACAACAAGTCCCGCTTGCGCCGGCCGCTCTATCTTGATGTACTGTTCATGGTAAGCGCTTGCCACGACGACATTCAGCTGCGACAGAGTGAGGTTCGTCCAGTGTGAGGTCGATTTGAGTGGAGTAAGGTATGCGGGAGCTCGGACCATCAATACTCAACGACCCACATCGTGACATGATTGGAGGGGTGGACTGGTTGACTTCGATGTCGATGCTCAACTTCATCTCCAACCACGACATTGACGGTCATAAATGTACTTTGCACATAGGGCTGAGTGCTTCTCAAATAAATCATTTTCAAGGAAGAAGTAAATCGAAGGAAGACGGGAATCAGCTCGCGAGAGGAACAATCACATCAAAACCACGCTTCAAAAACCTCTCCATCCACCGGCAGCCTCACTATCACCAATCTCATAACCCATCAAGAGGTACGCACACCTCATATCGAGAAAGAAAGAATAAAATAGAAATAAAATAAAAAGAATGTCAGACGATCTCAAGGATGAGATAGAAGCCCTCAACTCAATCTACGGAGACGACACGCTCCGCGCTTCCTCGCCGCCAGAAAGCTATGTTCTCACACTTCCCGGCGGCCCGGGCGCCTCCTCGCTCACCCTCCGCTTCGCCGACACGTACCCTGACGTACCTCCGGAGATCCTCGGCACCCACAGCGCCGGCGAGAACGCGCCCCGTGGCGCCGGCGCCCGCGACCTATCCCTGTTTCGCGAGGCCGTCGCCGCCGTCTACCAGCCGGGCGCTGTCTGCCTCTTTGACGCCGTGGAAGAGTTCTCGAGACGGCTGGAGGAAGTTTCAGAAGCTGAGCCGTCAGCACCACCCACCACCACCTCACATTCGCCGCCGTCGACATCGACACGGCTCAAGAATGAGCACCAGGACGCTGAAGCTGACACTATGCCTTTGTTCATGCTAGAGGAACCCCCCTGGATCATCTCGGACCCCTTTGTCGAGCTCAAATCCGTCTTCCTCGCGCGCGCCGCGCCCGTCACGTCCCCCGAGCAGGCCGCGGGCTACGTCCAGCACCTGATCGCGACGGACAAAAAGGTACGCACCGCGACGCACAACATGACGGCGTGGCGGATCCGCGGGCCCAACGGCACCAGTTTTCAGGACTGCGACGACGACGGCGAGACCGCCGCGGGGGGGCGGCTGCTGCACCTGATGCAGCTCATGGACCTGTGGGACGTCATGGTCGTCGTGACGAGGTGGTATGGGGGCCAGAAGCTAGGCCCGCGGAGGTTCGCGCTGATTAATAGCACCGCGAGGGATGCCTTTGTAAAGGCTGGGTGGGCGGAGGAGCCGGGGCAGGGGAAGAAGAAGGGGCACGGCAAGTGAGGCACTGCAGAGTTTGCTCCCGGGCCTATCTGGGAAATATCACTGATAGCGGCTTGAAGTCGGGCATGGCTTACTTATCGAGTGTAAGATCAGTCACACCAATAGATCAATTCTGAGGCGGGGGGGACTACTATCACCGAGGGAAGCTATGAACTCAGGAGCCACGAGCGCATCAAAGAGGAGGAGACCAAATCGCTTCGAGTTGACATTTTGGACCGACATTGGCCCTCTCCTCGCTAGACATACAAAAGTTGGTATCGAACAACAGAGAACCACCCCTCCGCAACGCCCATATGCTCATCGCGAAAATTTTCTAAAAACAAGATTGCCAACCGCCTAGACCAGTCCATGCTAGTACAGTCGTCCCTTCATGCAAGTTCGTTAAACTCAAAATAAGCGTGGAAACCCATAGTTCTTCTGATTTTTTCCTCAAATCAGATTTCTCGTCTGGCAGACATCCCAGCAATGCAGTTCCTCCTTGATCCTCCGGCACTTTAGCGGTACGCGAACGCTTTTTTCAGGCCTTGAATAGCTTGGGCTTGAGGATGTCGAGTGCGAGTATCGACTGTTCACAATCGAGAATAACGGCACCGGCTCGGGCGGTGGAGAGATAGGAGAGTCCCGCGCTGTCTCCTGTGCGCATATCTTGCACCAGGGTGCCAGCCACACCACAGACGATACCAGTGGCTTCGAACGGCAGGCTTTCAAGATCCAGGAAGATTGGCGTGAGGTTCGTCTTGGTGTCACCAACAAGTGAATCGCCAAAGAGACCGAGCAGCGACTTATCCAGCAACAATGACGGCGGGTCCTCCTGGGCCAGAGTGATGGAGAGGAAGCGCGGTCGCGCCACCAGGGCCGAGATCATGGCGGTGTACAGCTTCGTGTCAATGTTGTCCAGCCACGTCTGGCGGTGGCTGTTGCCTGTCACCTGGCGACTCAGCGAAGGTCGCTGAGTGTGGGACAGTTCGCCCCCAAGCTGCGAGGTTTCCCGGCCCGAGCACTGCACAAGGAGCAGGTTGTCCTCAACGTAGGGCGCGACGCTCCGCTTCTTCAGCAGGTCAAAAGTGCGCACTTGCAGCTCAGCGATCGTGGAGGGCGGCGGGGTCAACGGAGGGCCGTTGTTCTGGCTCGATCCGCGGGAGTGTATCGAGGCGGCGGGGCTGACAAAGTTGGAGTCGTTGTCGGCCAGCTCGAATCCGCGAGCCAATAGGGCCTTGACGACCGTTTGCCTGTCCTTGCTCGGTACGAGAATGAAATCGGAGTAGTATGTGGTGATGAAGAAGATGGGAATCCCGGCGAGGGCCAGAGGAGACGTCAATTCCATAACACGGCCCGCCGCGTCCATGCCGGCGCTAATAACGGAGAGCACGAGATAGGTGTCTTTGGATATCGATACGGATTTGGCAAGATCTTTTGGGAGATCCTGAATTGCCGGCTCAAAAACGTTCTTGGCCCACGAGCTGTGGCAGACAATGGAGCACTCCATGGGAGTGACGCTGATGTTGAGGAAGCCATGCTGGCTCTCAGCGTTGAGGCCTTCTAACTCATGTTCCGGCTCGCCTTTTGACGCCTTGAGGGTCTGGGTCTGCGGGAGGAGGACGCGGAGAATGGGTTGCAGGAGTACCGAGTACAGGTCGAGGGGGATGTGGATGAGGGTGTAGTGGCCATCCTGCGGTAGCGCAATGCGGTGTTAGTTGAGAAGCACGATAGGTCTGCAAGGACCAAGACATTTGTGTGTCATTTTAGCTCCGAGGAATGTGCAACTCGGGGCGGCGACGGCGGCGACGGACGCAGCGTTGCAATGGGACAGGCAAAAGCAGCCCCGCATTGTGGTGACTCCTTTGAGATTCGTTCCCGCGTTGCGTCTAGAGTGTGTGCGCGTGCAATAGGAAGATGGGGGGTGACACGGATTTTGGAGAACTTACGAGGAACGAGACCTGAGCGTTCATTGTAACGCGCAAACTTCTGGCGGCGGGGTGAGGGCCGGAAGAATGCTTCTCGGCGTCGGTTTCTCTAGAAGAGAAAAGGAAAAACGGTAGACTCGATATGCCGGTGCACGGATGGTTGGCTGAAGTTTGCGTGTGCGCCGGGGATGATATCGGAGGGGAGAGGGGGGGGGGAGGTAAATAAAGGTATTTCTGCGGCCGGCTTCGGTTCAATCTTCCATAAAGCTGCTCGGGGCCGGGTGTCGTTGGAGAGTTTCTGACGGGCCCGATCTCTTTTGCCTTCGAAAAGTTCAGGAGCCTTGCAAAGTTTAAGCTTTCGGCAGCCGTGGCTGACAGGGGAGTCGTAGTCTTTTGTTATCTCTCTCGGTGTCTGGTGTCTGGTGTCTGGTGTTGTATTGGCTTTCCCTTGCGTCTGATGTACGGATACTTCTGCGGGGAAGCAGATCTATGGGGGAAATATTCAACAGATGATGGGACGCTAAATAGAGAAAATATGTAAGCAGGGGAAAGTGGAGGAAGGGAGAGAGGGAATCTCCAAAAAGAAGGAATCAGGAAAAAGGGAAGGGGGATGGGGAAAGGTTAAGAAAAAGGCAAGAGGAGGAGTTGAAGGGGAAAAGAGGAATTAGGTTCGTATGGGAGGAAGGACCCTGAAGACGAGCTAAGGTGGGCAAGGTAAGGCAAGGCAAAAGCTGGGCGAGCTTGAACGGTGAGGTAGATTTGGGGGGGCCGTTTTTCGTGGAGACTACTTGGTACGGATACATGATACATGCTACATTCACAAGTGGGAGGGGGAGGGTGCTCAAGAGGAGGAAGAGGAAAAGTACGTGGGAGTGCGGCGTGGTGCAGCAGGAGCAGCAGCGGCGGCGTACTTTCTGCGGCGGCGGCGGGTTTCCCAAAAGACGCACTACCTTACCTTAGAGCACGATCTGTGCGTCTACAGGCCGGGGACCGGCCAGAGGAGGAGGAGGAGGAGGAGGGCCGAGACGAGACGAGACGGAGCGATATGGCGCTACTGAACATGGGAAAACGTGGATTTGCGGCCTGCCTGGGTTTTTTTCTTGCTAGCCGTTTCCTTAACTTTTTTTTTTTGCCGCGATATTCCGGGCAATTGAAGGGGTTGCAGATAAGGTGAGGTCCATATGTCACAGTAGCGTTGAACCTGTGCTTGAGCCTTGGGGGGGAATGACGATTCGGTGGTTTTGCACCGAGCTGGGGGATCTATTTCGTGATTTTATTTCCACAGAACTACTCGTTGGTGGACGAAAGATGACTTGTCTGGCCATCACCGGTCCTGGGTTCGGGGATCGACCGCAGTCCCGCGAATGCATCGGGGAACGTGTCTTTGTGGAGTTGTGAGTGGGAAATTCCGTCAAAAGTGGTGTCGATTTTCTTTTCTATTCCTCTTCAATTTTCTGGGTTATATGTCATACATGTCTTAACATCGTCATTTCTCAAAGAGGGCCACACTCGGCCAAGACACCGGCGAGCCCGAGTTGATCTGACGGTTCTGTCACAATTGGGGGATGTATACCTAAAAGATTCTTCCATGCTGTACCACCTTACGTGCTCTGCGTGGGGTAATTCGTGAGAAGCTTGTCCAAGCTCGGGCTACATGTGCGGACAATGGGATTTCTTGGAATGTATTGTCTCGAATCATGACGAGGACGGGGTGATTCCACACGCAATTGTCTTGGACCCAAAACCCACGCGACTTCCCAGGGCAAAGAGTGAGGGGCATTGTTCGGTTGGTTCTGCACATAGGGACAGGGTGTGGGCGGAGATGGGCAGCATGACATGGCGGGGTTGAGCAGGGGGGACAGGGAAGGACATGGTTTTGGAGGACCTATGATTACATCTTTGGTAAGTGGGCGTCTATTTCTCCTCGACGCCGCCGCCGCCGCGGCGTCCACGGCGAAGACACTGAAATGGTGAAGTGAGTTACGGAGAAGAGAAAGGATCGAAAGGGGGTGGGGATTCTTTGGCTGGCGGGTTTCACGGGATCTCAGTCTAGTCAGATCTCGTCTCATATCTTCCCCTTTTTCTTTTCTGATTGCGGATGTTGCGTCCAGAGAGAGCGAGATGCCTCCATGTGCGGCGCTTTTTGTGGTATTCATCCTCGGTTGTAAAGATGTGAGAGAAGGCGGTTCGGCGGGCGTTTGGCAGGCGCTCTCGAGTCAGGTAGGTAGGTAGGTCCCTTTCTCCATCCAAACATGGGAGCCCCGTGTAAGTCGCGAGTTGAGCCGCTGCCAATCGTCTCTCCACTACCAAAATCTAACGCTCGCGTTCCCATTATTTTTTTTCTCATATTTATTTAGCCTTTGAAGATTGACATCCGAACCAGATATTGCGCCATGGTCGACACTGAGATGGTCAACAAAAGTGTAAAATTGTGTCAACGATGATGAGACGGAGCGAGGCGCGCCATGCTGGATCTGCATCTCGTCATCTTTCGCGACACATGGACCGTGCCCTCCAAGGCGTGAGTCGTTCCGGGTTGGCATTGGGCAGACAGAAATCAGCGGCTTAGACGACTCTGGGGCTTCTCGTCTCATCTGACCTCACCTCACCTCACCTCACTTCGAGAAGGTGTACCAAGTACGGATACAGATACATGGAGAGGAACCGGCTGGGTTGGGGAACAAGACTGCAAAGGAAAAGGTCCAGAATGCCGTTTCGGGCGACGTGCAGGAGACTAATTGAATCGGGAGCGTGGGGGTCTGGGCATCTCTCTGGCACTCCATGCGCAGTACTTGGTGGTTAATGCAGTAGTCGAGATGCCTGCGTGCCTGCCTCTCTACGAGTGATGCTTGCTTTTTTATTGCTTCAGCTACCAGCGGTTACAGAACCATAGAGAATCCGTACTTGGTACCCAGTACACAGCGCGGATAGGATGGGAGAACAAGGCACCGAAAACCTACGTTAGGCCAAGGGCGGTCCGTGGATGCGGGCGTGACGGGAATTGCGATCCTTTGGGAACGCCTGGGGAGGTCGCTTACGTCTCGTGTAACTCGTGAGTGAGGCAGTCACGTTTGTTCCCGTTCCCATTTCGGCTGTCACCCTCTTTCCCCCCCAACGAACCGTGATGTAAGACGGAGAGGCGCCTTGCCCTTGCCAGCCGAGGGATGGATAGTTGCGTCGGCCACTTCTCCGTCCTTTAGCTCTCCTCACCTTAACACGGGTCTGCTGTTGCGTCGCCTGTCGCCTGTCACCTCTCACATATCAACTCTCACCACCAACAAGGGAAGCAACGCTGACGGGCGTCTCTCCCACCTAAATTACCTTTCCTGTGGACGAACACACGCACTTGGATGCCCAATTGCCTGGTCCAGCATAACAGCGGCTGACCTCGGCATGCGTATCGACTTGCTGATTCAGAAACAAAACAAAAAGGCCATGATAATTGACAACCCCCGCGGGGGTTCCACGGCAAACGCGCCTTGGAGTATCCGTATGCTCAATCGGATTAACACATCAGGTCACGGAACAGGTTCTCGATGACGGTCTTGGACGACGACACGTCTGTAGACACCGGCAGCTACGGCAGCTACGAAGCTATCCCCTCACCTGGTCCCCTCAATCCGTCGAATGCTCGTTCATACCCTGTGCCTACCTACGCCATTCCAGCTTCACTCTGAGAATCTCAGCTTCCTCACCCCACCTCATCTCGAACGTCATTGCGTCGGACCAGAGATTCAGCCATTTGGCGGCCTGCGAGAAGAGAAAAAGCAATTCTCCATTTCCTTTCCCCCAGGCCCAGCCCCGCCGATCGCAACGGTTCCTGAACCTTGTCCGAACCCTTTCCCTTCTGGTCGTGTAACTGGCTCAATTGGCCTCTCTGATTTGCTTCGAAATCGGCGCTTCATGCATGAGCCATCGGGGATAGACAAAGAACATGGGTTCTCTCCAGTGGGATTTCACTAATACCTTACCTAGACCAATACCTGTAGGTACTGTGCCTCACCCCCTCCTTGCTAAACTGAAAGCTGCTTTCTGCTACTGCAAGATGCCGTGGCAGCTACGATTCCGGGTTTCCCATTATCGGCAAGCCGGGCGAGAGGGTACGACGAGCGTTTGGAATGGCCCATAGGCGGAATACAACCTGCCAGCGCGCCCACATCTCCAAGTCGACGGCGCAACTCTCGGTCAACTTGTGACTGCACATGGAGAACCCCGCTCTCTACAGATACGTCCTGCCAGCAATTCCAACACCCCATCCCACTCTTCCTATTCTCCTCCCGCAACCCGGCCGCTGCATCCAGACCAAACTCGCAAACCCCCCATCCCAGAGCTGCACCCTGGGATCCGATCCCTTCAGCAACCGCGTCCAAATGTCACCCTACCAGCACAAAGTATGCGAATTCCCTCGGCTGGCCGCTTCTAAGCGTCCTGTCACTGACAGAGTCGGCCATTGATCCCCAAGTCGATGTCCTGTTGGGTCGGAAAACTGACTCGCCGAAAGAAGCATGGGTTGGCGACATCGAATCCCGACCACGTTCGACTTGTGACACCTCTTCGCCCTGCTAGCGATGCGTCTAGATCGGCCCAGCATGGTGCCCCAAATACTCGGTCGCGGCTTACATGCAGATGAGAGGTATTGGCAGGCACACTCACGCCCGTCATCGTCACCGCGCGTACCGATGACAGCATCGCACACCTTTTCGGGAAGACGTTGAATCGTCTTTCACGAATTGGACACTGTATGCTGAGGTGATGAGGCGTGGCAGATGGAAGATGAACCCACAGGGTGAACAGCAAAACGTCGTTTACAGGGCCTTGTTTCTCTACTGACTGCGCGTGCCGACGTTGCTCTCGCTCAATTGCCCCATCCGGCAGTGTCTGCATCGCCGGTGTGGGATGCTCAGTTCTCACGAGAGAACTTGAGTCTCGAGCTGACGACTACATGGAAACGAAGGCAAAAGCCCTCGAAGAGTCCACTTGACTGGAGACAAGGGACACTCACCGGTTGCCGTGATCCATCATATGGCCGGAGCTTCGCCGAGGTTTCGACTGTTGACGATGAGTCTTTTTCTGTTTTCCTCGTCTTTCTTCTCGTTCTCTTTCGATCCAAGTCCCAAGAGAAATGCTTCACCAATCAACTTTTCTAATTTTTAGCCTTTGGTCGTGCTTCCTCAAGTCTCCGATGGATCCCTGTTCGTCCGTGCTCCTCCTCCATCCATTTTTACTTATCTCTGTTGCGGATCAGATCGTACCCGTTCCCAGATCCACAGATAGGGAACCACAAAGGGCCAAAACCTTTTGTCGTTATCTCAGACTATGACTGTCCCCCCTGCTCCTCAAATAGCGTCTGCCGAATTTAAGACCCAGGCTCGGACACTTGGTAGCTTCAACGTCGGCGGGGCAAACAGCGGCTAAAGAATGTGAAGAAAATTTCAAGTATTTTCTCCGTACCGCTTACAGAGCATCCGTACCAGACAGGCTTTTTGCGCGGTTCTACTAAGCTGGCCCTCTATTCTCCGTCGTCCACTCATACCGGTGCTGTTGTTCCAACCCGCGGGAGAGGCTGCCCCATTCAGGGTTTCTTGGGTGTGTCTTGAGACCCCGCCGTCGGGAATCCCTGCATGAATGATGCAGTAGAGGGGTTGGGATCGTTGGATGCGCCTGTCTTTCTGCCTACGAGTGTGCCTGTCTTGTTTTGTGTCGTCTCTTGGCTTTGTAAGAGGGAGAGACATACACCACACACGGAATGAATGACCGAGAGAGGACGCAACCCCCCTGGACCTATCATGACCACCTGGCTGGCTGACGTGAGTTCATGCATGACATCAACGCTCGAGCTTGCCGCGCATGGCGAGGTCTGCGGTTTGTCCACTTGCCGCAGTAACCGACTCTACGGCATAAGCAGTAGATTGTATATCCTTGTCGGCGTCGGCCGTCTGCCGAAGTTCAACGGATGCCTTTCCGAAACTATTGCGCAGTGTTCGACGTCGTTGCGGCATTGACGGGTTGCTATCGGCTGAGGGATGACTTATATCTTTTCTCACGGGCATGACAAACTCCTGCCGAGACGGTGGAGCCCGGCCTTGTTGGATGCCAGTTCTTTTTGCGAATGCGTGCCGAGTGAAAACCATCGGGAACTGCCGGCCGCTGTCGAATGGTAGTCTGTGACGTGGGACTCCTGGTCAAGGTGAATCGCGTCGTGAAGTGTAAATCTCTGTGAGACCCAGACACGAAGGTATCACAGCCAAACCCGGTGCATAGCAGACAGAAATCAAGACGGAGAAGACAGTGAGTGTATCAAGGGGTATCTTCCCTGAGGTTCCGTACTTATTTCTTGATGCCCACGACCACCAAATTCCTTGGGCTCTCGGCGTAGTCAAACACCGTCTCGACCCAGCAATCCCGGACGACCTCGTCGTGCTCTTTGAGAAAGAGCCAGCGGTCCGTGACGATGAGCGACTCGACGACGCACGCGCTAAAGGCCATGAGGCTCCACACGGCCGCGACCTCCTTCTTGCGGGACGCGTACGCCTTCTCGTACCACTCAATCTCCTCGTCCGTCATGCCGGCCATCTTGTCGCGGATGACTTCGCTGTACTGGCTGTACTCGCGGTTCGTCGTCAGTTTGGCAACGGCGCCACGGACGTAGTCCTTGAGAGACTTGTAGCACGCTTTGCGGAGGGAGCCGATGATGACGGGGTTCGTGCTCGTGTTAAAGGGGGATTCCTTCTCCTCTTCCGTCTGGTCTGGTTCCGTGCCCGTGTTGGCGTCGGCAGCAGCAGATTCACGGTGGTAGACCTTTGAGATAACGCCGCGGTCGAGAAAGATCTTTTGCAGGACCGCCCGAAACAGGTGGCGCGTGAAGAAGTCGTCGCTCTCGGGCTGCGTCCAGTTCTGCGGCGCCTGGCACGCCATCATCCGCGCCGTGATGTTCATTCGTACGCCACGGCCCTTGTAGCCTGACAGCGTCTCGCTGAGCGGGAAGCCCTCCGGATCGCGCCGCGCCGACTCGCGCACGACGCGGCCGTTGAGTGCTTGTAGACTGGGTCGGGCATATCCGGCTAACTTGTACGTCGGCGGGCCGAGCTTCTCCGTGAGGAGGTTGTAGCAGCAACCCACGATGGCGACGGAGTGAATGGCCGGGTTCATGACGAGAGAGCGGATGCCGAAGTGCGAAAGGTTGCCGCACGAGTGGATCGACACGGCCATCATCTTGAGGTCCTGGCCCGACTCCTCCGGGAGGACCTCCTTTTCGATGCGCCCGATGACCTCGGTCAGGTCGCCGCTCTCCAGCCTGCCGACCACGTACGAGACGGAACCTTTACCCAGCGCGCGGTTGTAGCGCGGCTCGAGCTCCTTGATGGGACGGAAGTCAAAGTCCTCAGCCGCTGAATCGGGCGACGGTTTCGCCGGCGCCGCCTTCTTGACGGCGTCGGTGCCGAGCCTGTCGGCCTGCATCTGCAGCCAGAGCTTCTTGTTGCGCATCACGACTTCTTTGCTCGCCAGGCCGGAGAGAACGTCGAGCCCCCTCGCGCCGTCGATATTATGCTCGCGGCCCTCGACGGCGACGACGTGGCGGTTATAGGGGGGCAGCGCCAAAGTGCGGCCGAGGTAGTTTTGCCCGCTGCCAAAGTCCACAAAGTGCGTCGTCTCTTTACCCCAGCGGGAGGCGATGGAGCCGGCGAGGGCGTCGACGTAGCGCGCGAAATGGGCGACCTCGTGCACCTTTTTCGGCTTCATGCCGACGGCCACGGAGCGGGAGAGCTTTGGCGGCGGCTTGCTCTCGGACGCGGAGGCCGGGGAGAAGGTCCGGCGGAGGGAGAGCCGGCGCACGCTGCGGATGTAGGTGAGAAAACTCTCGGGCGGGGGTAGGGACATGTTGTCCAGGGGCAGGTTATCGAGGTCATCCCTCATGAGCAGGTCCAGCAGGGCGTCGGTGCCGTAGGAGAGGAGGAAAGGCTGCCATTCCGGCGGCAGGATCTGGGAGAAGAGGCCCGACTCGTTGGTGAAGAAGTCGAGGACGTGGACGCCGCCGCAGAGGATCTGGAAGATGTCTGTGGATGTCGCGAACTCGAGAAGCTCTTCGACGTATGCCTCTGGCGAGGCGAACTCGTCTGAGCAGGGGAGGGGCTTTTCTGGTATCATCCTTTTCTACTTTTTCTTTTTTTGGCCCCCTTTTGAGAAGTGTTTTGTGTGTGTGCGAGTGACTGCGTCTTGCGATGAATGATTCACAAGTGTATAAGCTTACTATATTTTCAAAGAGCGTGGTTTTTTTTTTTTTTTTTTTTTCAGTAAGTGACTGAATGAAAGATGGTGAGAGCTTGTGTGAGAGGGACTGAGCATGTGGAGTTGCAAATGGCTGATGTAAAAATCCCACTTACATAAAAAATGCAAATGGAGGGGGATTTTCTTCGGTGAAGGAGGGGCACACCGAGGGGTCGAGCAAGGGTCTTCGGTGACGTCTCTTGTCTCGGTGAGGAATGCCCACAAGGTAGTCGGTCCCATGTGCCGAAGAATCTCCGGCCTTGGGTCGCTTCCCCACATACCTCCCTCGAAGCACCGGCCACCTCCCGTTAGTGACCTCCAATAGTGGACACCTAAGGAGACGGGGACGGGAAGTAGCCGTGTCCGCAAAGGAACCTGGAAGCTACCTAGCACCCAACCCGGCCGGCCGCCAGACGCGCAAACGTCATCCCATGCCGCGTTAACCAAAGTGACTTGACTATTCGTACAGATTGCCAGTTCCGCACCAGGGCCCCAGACCACCAATATAGGCAGGCTGCACCTTTTGCTGGAACCACCTTGCCTTGACAGGAACCTTCGCAAGAGACCTACCCGCAAACCAATGCGTCCACGGATGCGCTTTTCCACCACCCCATCGCCAGGATGATGTCCTCCGCCAACGAAGAGGATCCCTTCCTCCAAGTCCAACAGTATGCATCGCATCGCAAACCCCCAACCCCTTGTCTCCCTTGCCATCTTCCCCCAAAACTACAATACTGACCAAGAGCGTAAACAGAGACGTCCTCGCCCAGCTGGACTCGACCAGACCCCTATTCACATCCTACCTCCGCATCCGCTCCCTCTCCACCTCTCCAACCTCCCCCGAACTCGCCTCCGCCCGCGCCGACCTCGAATCCGCCCTCGCGTCGCTGGCCGAGGACCTCGCCGACCTCGTCGAGTCCGTCAAGGCCGTCGAATCGGACCCCGCGGCGTTCGGCCTCTCCGGCCCGGAAATCACTCGGCGCAAGAGGCTCGTCCAAGATGTCGGCGGCGAGGTGGAAGACATGCGCGAGGAGCTCGCCAAGAAGCTCGGCGACGTCTCCGCCGCGGCCAAGGGGAAATCAGCAGCAGTACATGGTGGAAACTCGGATCTACCCGATCCAAGCGCCTTTGCCATTGGCGACGGCGACGCGAGGGACGGCGGCAGCGGCGGCGATTACGCGGCCGAGTTTGAGCAGCAGCAGCAGCTCGAGATGATGCGCGAGCAGGACGGGCACCTGGACGGGGTGTTCCGGACGGTGGGGAACCTGCGGCGGCAGGCGGACGACATGGGCCGCGAGCTCGAGGAGCAGAGGGAGATGCTCGAGGTCGTGGACAGCGTTGCGGACCGCGTCGGCGGACGGCTGCAGACGGGGGTGGCGAAGTTGCAGTACGTTATGCGGCACAACGAGGACCGGCTGAGCAGTTGCTGCATTGCTGTGCTCATCTTTGTCTTAATTTTGTTGCTTGTTCTGCTGTTGATTCTGTGAGCTGTCGCCACCGCCGCCGCCGCCGACGATGACAACAACTTTGGGATTGGCGAAGAAGGGAGGGGGGGCGGGCATCGGGAGAGGGCCGGCTATTCTCTTATAAGCTGAAAAGGGAGAAGGGGCCGTCGTATGCCCTCAGTCTGTCTTAATGGGTTTGGGAGTTCATGGAGCGTCTGAAGTATATCGACAAATCTTTTTTGTGCAGCTCTGGAGGCCGTCATCTGGGGGCTATGATAGATTTTTTCATCCAACTAACGATACGCAATGTCTAAAGTATCTTGTTTTGGGAATATCCTTTTCCCGCCAGACCACCTCGCCTTGCTCATGTATGAGTCGAATCGGCCCTGATCTCGTGCCCACGCAAGGTATTCTTCTTGCTGTTCGGTTTTTGTGTATAAGTACCCGATGCCGGGATGTCCAGAAACGCCAGAGATGTGTACCCCCTTTAACCGCCCAATTTCAGCAACCCACGCCTCACGTATGTATACAAAGGTAATCGGTTTTTTTTTTACCTTGACGTAGCTTCTTCTTTCTCCGCCCCCCCGTTCTATGCCACGTCTAACCCAGAGTCCCGTCTTAGAACGTCAGCCAGAACCTGCAACGCCTGTGCGGCCGTGGCCCCAGGAGGAGCCCTCTTAGGGAACTCCACCAACGCCATCCGGAGGGCCGCGACGGCTGCGTTGCCGTAAAAGTTGATAAAGCGCTGCTCGTGGCCGTCAATCATGGACTTGAGCACGACATACTGGGTGTTGGAGACGAGCTGCGGCGGCGAGTTGACAATCTGCGCCATGGCCTTCCAGTAGTTTGTCGGCGGGTACGGGTTCGTCTTTGACGCCTTGCTAAAGTCTCGCAGGGCAATGGCCGCGAAACCGGCCCCGAGGCCCGTCATTCTGTCGTTGTGCGCCTGCTCGGGCACCCAGTTGCCGTTCTCCTTTTTCCAGCCAATAGCCCTGCGGCCGCCCTCGGTCTTGTCGCTGCCTCTAGAGCCGAACAGGACGGGGCAGGCCACGTGGAACTTGGCGATGAGGATGTCGATCATGGAGCCCCCGCGCCATTGGTAGTCCTTGTTGGAGAAGATCTGCGCCGTCACGATGCCGACCGGCTCGGCCGACTTTGGGTTCGCGCCGCCTTCGTTGGAGAACTGCTGGATGATGGCCTTTGAGAGAATGTTGAGGAGGTATATAAACAGAGCCGGCAGCTGCGGGCCATTGTTAACAGCGCCTTCAGCTGGTTCTCTATTTTGCTGCACGTATATGTTTGCGTCGACCAGGGGCGATTGCACTTGGCCGCCAAGAGATTCGCGCAGTGCTCCATTAATCGTGGCAAGCTTGCACATTGTTAGCATATGCGTTTGTGGCATTAAACAAGACTAGACTTACAGGTTGCGCGTTTGCTCCCTTGCCGGCAGTCAGTTGCCCGATGGACTTCCTGATCTGTCTCCGCATATCTCCCAACTTGCCCTTTAACGGATTCCCAGGCTGTTTTGACAAAGCCTCGACGTCCTTTCTCAGCCTCTTGAGAGCTTGGTGTATTTGGGTGTACCTGTCAGCGGTCGGTAGAGCTGGCGCCGGTGCTGGCGCGGCCGGCTGAGCGACGGGTTTCGGGGCCAGAGGCGCTGCGGGCTTCGATAGGAATCCATTGGCTTGAGTGGACGGTGCAGGGACGTCCTTTGCGGGTGCTGGTGACGGTGCCGCCGGAGGAGCCTTCGCGGTGGGGAGAGCAGGTGTCGGAACACTTGTCAAGGGAGTCGGCTTTGGTGCCGCCGGTGCAACAGCAGGCTCGGATTTGGCCGCCGTTGTGCCATTGACCTGAGGGTCTTGCGACTTCTTCGGCTCCGGCTTGGGCGGTTCAGGTTCGGGTTCAGGAGGGAGTTGAGGAATCTGCTTGGCCTTGAGCTCTCTCAGCCTCTCCTGCTCGGCGCGCACTGCTGCCTCGGCCTTGAGACGATCTTCTTCCTCTTTTTGCAGCTGTGCTATCCTCCGGTGCTCGGCCTCCAACCTTTGCTTCTCCTCCTGCAATTGGTGCACCTCATAGACTCTTAGGGCAGCAAGTCGAACACGCTCGTGCTCAAGCTGGGCGGCGGCAAGAGCGTCGCGATGGCTCAGCTCCGAGTTACGGTTCTCTGAAAGGAAGTCTGCGGTGAACCCTCGTTCAGGGCTTGACTTGATGTTGCCATTGTGCTGGCTTCTCCGCGAAGGAGAAGAGTGCGCCATGATCGGTCGCACAGTTGGCTGCCAATCGCGTCGATGGTGGTCGGTCGTGGTGGGAGTTGAGACCGGGCCCTACGGCATTGGGCAGTGGGGTCAAGCGCGGGATGCAAAATTGCACCGACAACCGAAAGAAACAAAATCAACAAAAGAGAACCAAACACAGCAACAAAACGGCCGATCAAAAGAGTGACGTGCGCGGGTGGGCGGCTGGAGGGGGAAGGCAAGGCTCGGGCGATCGTTGGAGTCCAGACGAGGCTGTGCTTCTTCACCTCTTTGGGCCGTCTGGATCGAGTGGTGTCGTCAACCGGACAAGGTAGAAACTGTCGAGTTCAGGTTGGGCGCGGCGTTGGTGTGGAGCAACGAAAAATAATGCGATGTATCAGGCGCGCTTTGATGTGGGATAATGATACCGTTCGCGGCGGCCTGGGGCTCCTGGAGGTGATGGTGGACCTAGCTGGGGGAAAAGGCGACGACCCCTGCTGCACTGTTACCCTGAATCCGTGTTGCTGCTTGCAGCTCTACCCTTTTTGCTCCACGGGGGTGGGAGAGCAGACGAGCACGACGGAACAAACACTCAACAGAGTCACAGAGCAGAGCAGTGCAGAGCAGCCAAAAAGCAGTAGCCGGCCAGACTTGAAAAAAGAAGAGACGTCGCCATGGTCGCAAGCTAGGTGGGGCCTTGGGCAGCTGATTGGGCGAATGGTGACTCTGGATTCTGACAGAATGCAGCATAGCGTCCCCGCTGTTTGGTCGGACCGCGAGTGGGGCATCCTCCCGAACACGGGCGGGCAGTCAGGCAACGCTGGCTATTTACTGCCGGGCGGTCAAAATGGGTTGCTGTTCCTCGGCCTCTGCACCGGTACCTTAGACCCACGTCGTGATGTCCTTGCTATGTAGAAACTGGAACTGGAGTCGGGGCCGGCCCAAGTTTCCAACTGGGGAGTCGGCTGAAGTTTGAACTTTGGCCCGTCTCGCCTTGACTTTCCCCCTCGGTTTTCCTGGCTCTGGCTCTGGCTCTGGCCTGACAAATGAAGTCGGCACAGCAGACACGACCGTAGACTGGACGAGGCATCTGAGAGCTGAGCATGACGGGGAAGAGGATCTCCAACCTTGACTGGGTACGGAGTAGAGTTCAGATACCTGCTCAGGTAGAGTGTGATGCCATTGAGGAGAAATCCCGTCAGGGAGGTACGTAGTGAACTCCACCGTTGCATCAGGGGGAAGGGGGGAGGATGTCAATCACAGCTCGGGATGACTGAGCCTCTGAGGGACGCTGCCATGCTGCCATGCTGCCCTCATGCCCGCAGCTTCCTGGTGCTGGGGACCAGAGCAACGGCGGGCGAGCTTGCTGCAAGCCTCACACGCCTCACTCAGGTATCCCTCCGTAGGGGTTGTGTTGATGTGGTGTCCAACGACGCGGTATCCATCTGGAAACACTGGCGTATTCCTGTTTCCCCCCTCGACATGAGCCCTGCATTTGGCTTGCCCACCGCGCAGCATCCCCAGTAGACGCCAATGTACCTAGCAAGTAGCCGCCGCTCGCCGGCCGCTGACCATCTCGTTGCCCCGAGGTACCAAGGCCAGGTTCCTCACTTGCTGGCCTGCCCTGCATAGTCATACTGTTGACTGTCCCAATAGTCAGGAGTGCCAGTGTGCCAGACCAAACGTCACGGAACTTGGCGGACGTCCCAGTCCCAGCCCTTAGATGGGCGACAGGGCAAAATCAGGGTGGTGCACTACGACAAGGTAGGTACTGATCAATAAAGTATCCGAGCGACTAACCTGTTACCTGTCCTCGAACCCGGGAGCCCTGACCTGGTTTTGGCTCTGGCGTGCGGCGTGGACTCTCCCCACTCGTGTCGAACCTGACTGGAGACGTCTGGCTGCGTCTTGTCCTCGACCCCAAGTCCCCAAGTCAGGCGTGTCGCGCGACAGGTACTTCCCTGCTTACCTATCCGCCCCTAGGGGCCTAGAGTGCTGTCTTTGGGGAGATGCCGCCGTGATGTACCCCTAGCTTGGGGTAAGGTACCTGGCCTGGATTTTGGTCGTCACCTCGACTTTTCGGGCATTTCCAAGCTGGGCTGGTCCAGCCAGACTTTTGGTCCTTGGACTTGATCCTGAGAGCTTGAGGTGCCAATGATGCTGTACAGGCCGAGGTGTGAAGGAAGGGCTGTTCTACAAGAACCATCTAGAGCCCAGCAGGAGTGCGCGAGCTTCTGCACCAAACTAGACCAGACCAGATCTCCAGCAGTATGCATCATTATCATCATCGCCGTGTCTCCCACCTGCCGAAGTGACTTGGACTGCCCATCTCCCTACAGCGCCGCCCTGTGCAACTGCCTTACTACGTAACTCTTCTGGTGGTTCACTAGCGCACCAGGTACCTAGCCTTGCACAGCGGCTCGGCTTCAGTGCCCGCCCGGTGTGAACTTACTTCCAATTGTGCTGTGAGGTGAGGTGTGCTTCGTACCCAATGGGAGGAAAGGTACCTTAGCTATGGGACTCTTCCCACCTGGCGGGCCGGCTCCTGCTCCTCCTGCTGCTCCTGCCTGTCCGCTCCTCCACCCGGGTACTGCTGTCCTTCTTTTTCCACCTGCTCCTCGCTCGCTCACTCTCCTCCTTCCCCCCCTCCCCACTCCACACCCCCCGACCCGACTCGCCTTTCGCAACAAACCCCCCGTCAGTCTCTCCCAGAGAGGACATTCCCATCCTGCCTCGTCTTCTCTTCACGTCTTGTCTGCCTCATCCTTTTTTTCCCACCTCAACCATCACTTCGCACACTCCTTGCGAGCTCCCTTCCCTTTCACCTCGCTCCGTCTCGCCGACATCCAACCCTCTCCTCCCAACCTCCCAATCCATCCCATTTTCAATCCCTCATCGATCGATCAGACAACAAGACCTACCTTCCTTGAACCACAGCTACCAAGTCCACAAACCCAGAAGACCAAGAGCCCAAAACCACATCCATCCCAGTTCTCCACTGTCTTTAGTCCGCAAACTACATACGTCAATACCTTACCTGCCACATCATCCCACAAAGCTTCATCGACGCCAACGCCGACGACCCGGTATCCAACGCTATCAATCCCACCCACCCGTCCGTCCTTTATATCACTACGCACTTGACGTGCATTACAAGATAAAAAAAAGAAGCCAATCTTTCATCTGCTTGACTGCCCACCATGGAGCAGCAGCAGCAACAACAGCAGCAGCAGCAGCAGCCGCCGCCGCAGCCAACCGGCGGCGTCCCAGGCCCAACCGGCCGACGGCTTCACATTGCGCACAGGAGAAGCCCTTCCGAGCTGACTCCGTTGATGAGCATGTTTGCCAACCCGGGTAGTACGTTGAATCACATCTTTGCCTTCCATCTTTTCCCATCTTCCTACGTGAGCTTCCCGCTACTGCGCGATGCCTGCTACCCCTCGTCATCCGTGTCATCGTGCCAAAATCAACGCCGATACTGACAATGTGTCTTGCTTTGCAGTGGAACAGCTAGCTATCCAGCAGCAGATTGAGCTTTTGCAGCAACAGCAGCAACAAATCCAAGCTACGCAGCAACAATACATGAACATGGGCATGATGCCCCCCACGCAACAGCTCGGCCCAGGTGGTGCTTTCAATCCCCTGCAGCCGGGCATGGCGCCGCAGGGCGCCTTCCAGTTCCCCCAACAGATTCCGAATGTCTCCATGGGCGGTCCTCCGACTCAGCCAATGTCACATCGCCGTAATCAGTCGGCACTTCCTAACATGGGCATGGGCCCTCCTCCCGCCCCCTCCTCTGGTGCATCCGGTTCGAACTTCAATGATGCCTCCGGCGCCGCTCCCGGCAGGGAAAACGTCGGTGGCCGTGGAGGTCGCGGTGGTGGTGCCGGCGGCGGCGGACACCAGCGACGCCACTCTCTGGCCCTTGCCGATGCGAAGAAGGCGGCAGAAATCGCACAGCAGAAGCGGACGACATCGGGCTTCTCGTTCCCAATGTCCCCCTCCACCGAGGCCAGTGCCGAGGGTGGTGCCTCCGCCCCGACCCCCGCTCCGACTCAACCCGAGGCTCCCATCGCTCAGGGTACCAGTGCCGGTCGTGGGCGCGGTGGCCATGGTCGCAGCCAGAGCATGGCTGTGAACGGTCGTGGCGGTGGCACTGGTCGCGGTGGTTTCTCTGGTGATGCCAGCCAGAATGACTTTGGTCGCCGCAGCAGCCAGACTGGCGGTGGTGGTCACGCCAGAACCGGCTCTCGCAACTTTGATGGAAACTGGCGCAACCAGGGTGGTAACCAGGGTCAGGAGCAGGGCGGTTTCCAGCCGGGCCACCGCACTCGCGGTTCCGTAAACCAGTCCATCTCCAACATTGGCGCGTTCCAATACCCTGGCCAGCCTCAGCTTATGCAGATACCGGGCAACATGCTCCCCATGGGCATGTACCCAGGCCAGCAGCTGAACCCCATGCAGATCCAGCAACTGCAGGCCCTCCAAGCTGCCCAGATGGGCGGCCAGCAATTTGTTGGCCTTCAGGGCGGCCAGCATGGTGGTCAGCTTGGTGGAAACCAGCAGCAACAACAGCAGAGAAAGACTCTCTTCACCCCTTACCTCCCCCAAGCTACACTTCCGGCTCTTCTTGGCGACGGTCAGCTCGTGTCCGGTATTCTTCGCGTGAACAAGAAGAACCGCAGCGACGCCTATGTTTCTACTCAGGACGGCTTGCTTGATGCTGATATCTTTATTTGCGGTAGCAAGGATCGCAACCGTGCCCTCGAGGGTGACCTGGTTGCTGTTGAACTTCTTGATGTCGACGAAGTTTGGTCCCAGAAGCGCGAGAAGGAAGAAAAGAAGAAGCGCAAGGACATCACTGATACCCGTTCTGGATCCACCAATGGACAGAACCAGTCATCCGGTAACAACGATGACAACACGCAACAGGAGGGCGGCATTCGCCGTCGTGGCAGTCTGCGCCAACGCCCCACTCAGAAGAAGAACGACGATGTCGAGGTCGAAGGTCAAAGCCTGCTTCTAGTTGAGGAGGAGGAAATCAATGATGAGGCCAAACCCCTGTACGCAGGCCACATTGTGGCTGTCGTTGAACGTGTAGCTGGCCAAATGTTTTCGGGTAACTTAGGCCTGCTCCGTCCGAGCAGTCAGGCAACGAAAGAGAAGCAGGAAGCTGAGAGAGCCGCCAGAGATGGGGGCAACAATCGCCACCACGACAACCGTTCGCAGGAGAAGCCCAAGATTGTCTGGTTCAAGCCTACCGACAAGCGCGTGCCGCTCATCGCCATTCCTACGGAGCAGGCGCCGCGTGATTTCGTGGAGAAGCACCAGGACTACGCCGATCGCATCTTTGTTGCATGCATTAAGCGTTGGCCGATCACTTCTCTGCATCCTTTCGGCACCCTTGTCGAGCAGTTGGGCCGCATGGGCGACCTTAAGGTGGAGACCGATGCTCTCCTGCGCGACAACAACTTTTCCTCTGATGAGTTTTCTGAGGCTGTTTTGCGTAGCGTTGGTCTTCAGGACTGGTCCCTCGCTAAGGAAGAGGAGGCCGCCTTGGCTGCTCGCCGGGACTTCCGTGATGAGAAGGTTGTTACGCTTGACCTCAACGGCTCTCCCGAGCTTGCCAATGCCATCCACATCAAAACTCAGCCCGATGGCAAGATTGACATTGGTATTCACATTCCCGATGTTACTCACTTCGTCAAGCCCAACTCGCTTGTCGACCGCGAAGCCAAGAAGCGCGGCAC